GCCTCTTGAGAACCAAAGGTCTGCCTTCCATTTCCTCAGACTCCTTATCAGAATACAGCAGTTTGGTGCTATATGCCCTCAGGGCCTTGACCATTGCTAATCTATGACAGCCTCTTAGTAAATTTACATTTTTTTGGTAAAGGTTAGCTGTCTCCAAGAATGATAGTAATGACAAGAATTTCAGGAATTGTGACAGGACGGTGAAGAGAAGACTTTCTTCATTCCCTAAAATCATATTGTTTCTTTTTGTTTTTTCTTTTGTATTGGGATCCCCAGTGCCTAGCCTAATGCCTGGTAGGAAACGCTTAGTCAGTGTTTGCGGATTTACAAGTATTTATCATTTACCTCTCCTCCCACACTCTGTGATCCAGTTCAACTGGCCTTCTCTCAGAAGTCGAGTCACTTGCCCATGTTCACATAGCCAATACATGTCAGAGATGGGACTTGAACCTGAGTCTTTCTGATTCTGAGACCAGTGTGCTTAATCAAGTATGCCATGTTGCCTTTCACATTTTGTTTATAGTTTTCCTGGTATTGAGCCAAACATGCATCCCTTGTATAAATACAATCTAGTTATAGTAAATAATATCTTTATTATGTTTCTGTAGCCACTTTACTAGTATTTAATATTTTTGCACAGATATCCATTAGGCATATCATTTTATCATTTTCTTTCTCTGCTTCATTTCTTCCTAGTTTATGCATTAAGACCACGTTGGCTTTATAGAAGGAATTTGGTAGGATCCCCTCTTTCTCTATTTTTATAAATAGTTTACATCATATGGAGACAAATTGTTCTTTGAATGTTTGTTAACATTCACTAGTAAATGTATCCATCCTCTCCCACCCTACCTTTGGAAGTTCATTTAAGGCTTGTTGGGAGAAAAAAAGATTCTGAGATTTCATTATATAAATCCTCTATTTCTTGTTCTGTTAATCTGAGTATTTTACATTTTTGTAACTATTCATCCACTTATTTGTTATTAGTTTTGTTGGCATATGTTGCAGGTCAGGACTGACTCGGACTAGTCTTGGGCTTCAAGTTCCAAAATGGAAAAAAATGAGGCATTCATAAACCATCTAACAGTTAACAAAGGGAGACTTACTTAGCCTAATCAGGGAAAGGATATTTTTAGCAAGGATACACATTGGTCTCTGCTTTCCTGCCACTGTTTTGACCTGGTTTGCCAATGAGAAGTCTGAAGGAAGAGATACCCCTGCCTCCCTGTGGGCTGCTTTTTTTGTTTGTTTTATAGGCAACTGGGGTTAAGTGACTTGCCCAGGGTCACACAGCAGTGTCAAGTGTTTGGTCTGAGGGAAGATTTGAACTCAGATCCTCCTGACTTCAGGGCTGGTTCTCTATCCACTGTGCCACCTACCTGCCCATGGGCTGCCTTTTTTATGAAGACCACTAGAAACCTATGTCAGTGGCCCAAGTCTTAGTCTCTGGAGTCACTTAAGCCTATATAGCAGATATTGCTCTTATCACATAATTGGGCACATAGTAAGTGCTATATAAATGTTAGTTATTGTGATTTCTTATAGAATACAATACAGAATAACTCTGTAGTTATAATTATTAATTGTATATTTCTCTCCAGTATATATTCTTATACATTTCCCCCCATATGGCCTTTTATACTGAGTCTTGCAGGGTAAACTTTTCTTGGTAATGCCTTTACTTATTTTCTTTTGAAATAGTTATGTTCCAAGATTTTCTCTTCCTTATGTTAATTATGTCAAATCTTGAGTGATCCTGACTGTGATTGCTTGGTACTTGAATTCTTTCTTTTTCTTTTCTTTCTTTCTTTCTTTTTTTGGTTTCTTATAGCATTTTTTTTAACCTGGAAGCTCTGAATTTTGGCTATTAATTTTGAATTTCATGAGGTGACTGGTAGGGTATTTCTATTTTCACTTTGCTCTGTAGTTCCAATAACTCTGGGTAATTTTCATTTATGACTTATAAAAATATGGTATTTACTTTTTTTTTGTTTGCTCATGTTTTTCAGGAAGTCTAATGCTTCTTAAATTATTTCTTCTAGGTCTTTTTTCCAATTGTTTTCAATAGTACATACAACACACCCTGTCCTCCCCTCCCCCTTTTTTTTATAATCTTTTAATTTTGTCCTCGTATTTTTTCTTGGAGTCATTGAATTCTTTTTGCTCTATTTTGATTTTTAGGGAGTGTATTTGGGTAAGTTCTTCTACCTTCTCTTCTAAGCTTATTTTTCTTCTCATTCTTTTCTTTAGAGCTCTAATTTCATTTATAACTTCAGCTTTTGTCTCTAGCTTCTTTTCTTCCAGCCACTCTTAGACACCTTGTAGCTATTCAATTCTTCTTCCCTCCCCACTATGATCCTATTTGTACTTGTGGAATCTCTCCTTATGGGTTTGCCTCTTACACGTCTCTTTAATCCAACTATTTCTTCATAGTGCTTGGTGTATAAATAATAATAGTAATAATAGTTAACATTTATGTTGTGATTACTATGTGGCAGATACTCTGCTAGGAGCTTTACAATTATTATCTTCTTTGATTCTCATAAGAACCTTGGGAAGTAGGTGTTATTATTATCTCCAATTTACAGATGAGAAAACTGAGGCTAGGAAAGGTTAAGTGCCTTACCTAAGGTTGCACAGCTAGTGAATGTCTGAGGCCAGATTTGAACTCAGGTGTTCCTGCCTCCAGGTCCTGCAATCAGTCCACTGCACCCTCTAATTGCCCTCCTTCTGTTTATTCATATTTCTAGTCCTGGTTTCTAGTTTAGAACTTTGTGCCAGAACCAGGTGCTGCCTCCTTCTACACTCTTGAATTGGGTGCTTAGTTCTTGTTTGGTCCTGATGTCATGTTCTTGGGCTCTTGACCCGGCTTCAACAACCCATTTGTGTCTGTGCCCAGAGTATTAGAAGCTTTCAAATCCCTTGTGGAACATATCTAGTCAGAGCATTGAGGACTTCAGGCTGGTCTAAGGCATTCTAGTTAGAATTCCCCAAGGTTCTCTAGCAGAGGACTTCGTCTTATGCTCCTCAGTCCACCCCAGGCTCCACACCCTTAAGAGAAAGTTTCAGATTTTGGGTACTCCTGGAGTATCGGTAGTAAGAGTTCTAGAAGGTTTCTAATTATTTACTTCTCCTTGTGCTGTCTCTTCCACCTATATGTTCCAGGCACTGTGTTAAGTACTGGGGATACAAAGAAAGCATCTGAGTTGATGCCCTGTAAGCGGTCAGTGTAAGCTTGTCTGAAGCCATCACTTCAGGTCTGATTTCATGTCCTATTCTTTTGCCACACTCTTTAAAGGGGCTTCTATTCTTTGGCCATGTTTAGGGGCCAGTGTGGCTTGCACCTAGGAACCTAGGAGTCAATCTCTTTCTAAATGGTTGGACCTATGTTTTGAGGTATTTGGGCTTAACCAAGTAGCTTTAAAGGGAAGAGAAAAGTTGGAAGAATGGGGAAATGATGAAGCCATTTAAACTAGCTTATTGAGTGTACTTTGAAAACAAAACAAATGAAAAATCTCTCTCATTCCTCCTGCATTGAATGCTCTTCCTCTGAAACCCCTTATCCCATGTTGCTCTTTCCAGCTAAAAATGTATTCTCCTTTAAGCCAAAAGAGATTATTCCATAATGGGAGAGTCTTTTTCCAGCCTTGTAAGAGAAATGATTAAACAAACCAGTAGGAAGAAAGGAAATAAGCCCTGATTAAGCACCTACTATGTGTCAGGCATTGTGCTAAGTACTTTACAAATATTGTATCATTTGATCCTCATAACTACCCTGGAATGTAGTGCCATCACTGTTCTCATTTTACAGTTAAGGAAACTGAAGTAAACAGAAATTAAGTGATTTGCCCAGGGTCACGTAGCTAGTGTCTGAGGCTGGATTTGAACTTAGGTCTTATCGACTATAGGCCCAGTTCTCTACCCACTGAACACCAAGCTGCCACTAGACTGCCTGGGCTGTACGAACATTTTTAGTTTCACTATTTGCAGTATCCTTCCTATTTTTCTTGGCCAATTTAAATTCTACCCAACTATAAAGATTCTGCTCAAGTCAAATCACCTATATGAAGTTTCCCCTGACCATTCCATTCCACAATGACATTTCTTCAATACTTTCTCTGGAAAGATTCCTGACTTTGGAATCAGAGGAGACAGATTCAAATTTCATTTCTTTAGAATCCAGCAATTTGGGGCAAGCCAATTAATCTTTCTAAGCCTCTGTTCCTCTTCTGTAAAATTAGGGGATTGGATTATGTGCCAACTAAGGTCCCACCTGACTCTAAATTTATAATCCTATGATTTTACAGTGGCACATAAATGGTAGCCATTGTTGTTGCTATTACTGTATTGCTTGTATGTATCATGATTCAGTCGTTTAATGACTGTGTGTACTGCCAGTATAGTATGGTACATAAAGAACTAGTCTTGAATCTGGGAAAACGTGGGGTCAAGTACTATCTCTGATACCACTAGTGAGACCCCAGGTAATCCCTCAATCTCTCAGGGATTGAGTGAACCCTCCAACTCTATAAGTTGCAGGGAAGGTTCTGACCTGCCTTGATAGAGGGAGTTTCCTCACCTGGGACTTTCCTGTACCCATCAAGATCTGGTTTTTACCCCTCTGTCTTGTATGATGGAATAGACTATCAACTTCTGAAAGAAGGTCTTCTATTTCTCCTGTTCCTCCTGCAGCACCATGTTGCGCCATGCACAATGTATATATATAATGAGTGAGTAACTTAATCAAGGAAATGGGGCTCAGAGAGATAGAGAAAGGCATTGATGAAAGAACAAGTTGGTAAGAGATTTCTGTTGATGGCTGCTTATGGAAAACCATTTATTTTTTTCCCTCTAAGAGAAATGATACGTCCATCTCTAGTCAGTCAAAACCAGATAAAGAGTATAAAATACATTAAATACAACCATTAGTATGAATTATCAGATACAAAGGGAAAAAATAATCCCACATAGTTAGTCTTTCCCCTGAGTTAGAGGGCAAGTTGAATAATCACATTTGGTTTTATTTTAAAAAAAGGAGGGGGGACAGAGACCCTGACAAGGTTTTCATTAAATGCTATACTCTCAGCATGATGCTCGGTGCAAGCTGGCATTTAGGCAAGAGGCTCCTGTTGTCTGTCATGGTCAGTACAGTTCTTCACAGCTCTGAAATAGAATGCTAGCCTTTGACCTTATGGGTTTTTGACATGTAGAGAGCTGAAGATATGCATAAGGTAGAACGTGAGGCATTTATGACCTCTGCATTTTGGTCTTTTCCTTTCTGTCATGAAAGGTTGCATTGTTATTGTTTTCCTTGGCATCACAGAAATCACCTAGAATTAACCAACTGTCCAGTGTTGGTCACACTAGATTATATAGGATATGAGAGGTAGAAAGACTCTAATAAACTAGTGCCAGGAAAAGTGACCAGGTTAGAAAGCTTTGAATGGCATCTTCAGTTTTAGAGTTGAGTAAGGAAAAGGCTGCTCAGTCACCTTCATCCTTCTAAATGGCAGCTGGGATATGTTCTAGCCTCTGAAGGGAAAGCTTTTTCATGGTCTATGATGAGTTGGGGATTGCAGATACAACAGTGGTCCAGGGATTTCTATATCCTAAAAGGATAGGAAGCTAGCCTCAGAGTCAAGAAGACCTGGGTTCAAGTCTTACTTCTGATGCATGCTGTGTGACTCTAAGTGATTCACAACCCCTCAGTGGCTTAGGCAACTCTTGAAGAATTAATAGTGGATGAGTTGCTGATATGCATTAGTAGAGGGAGATTCCTTGTTGGGAATTCCCTACACCAATGAAATCACAGGTCTTCTCCTTCTCTGACCCCATGGTCATCAAGCCATAAGAATTTTTACACAGGTTTCTGGTCTCTACAGTCTGGTGCTTGGTCTCTGATAGACAATTAATGGAGTACACGGTTGCCTTCCATGTTAACCTCAAATGATTGGGCATGTCCTTGAAACATCCTTAGCTTGCCTTAATCTAATTTATTTTACAGCTCTATAATTAATTTATTAACATATTACAACACATTGAATCCTTTTCATATTTTCAGCCCCTGATGCCTTCTAAGGGTAATGAGTTTCCTGAGCTTTCTACTCACTGTGTGAAGCAAGACTCCTTTTTCTGTGTTCCAAAACAAACTCAAGTGTCAATCTGATGTGGCCAAGTCCTAGTGTTCCCAGTTTTAGGTGAACAAGGTTATCGGTAATCCTAGCAGGTACTTAACGAATGCTTACTGAATGATTGAATGGATTTTTAATGTTGTCCTAGCTCTTCCTCTCTTCTTCTTGGGCTTGGCCTCACAGTCCTCGTGCATATACTTTTAATCCTTATCTCCCTATCATACTGTGGTTACCCAAAAGAAGTCCACCTTGGTTGTTTTGTCTTTTGGCCTACATCTAATGCTGATAAATTCATTGGAGTTGAACAGTGACTAATACTCAATTCTCTCTCCCTCCTGCTCTCTCTCTCTCTCTCTCTCTCTCTCTCTCTCTCTCTCTCTCTTTCCTTCTCTCCCTCAAAAAATAGATATCCAAAGTAATGAATTCAAATCTGGCCTTCATGGGGAAGGGGAGTGAGGTGGAGCAGCAACAAGTATTATCTTAAAGGTTCAATGGCCATTGGGCCTAACTTTGTGAATATAGGAAGGTTTGGACCTCTGGGTGGAAGTAACTCAGCCTCCTTTGCTCCAACTCTGGGCCTCTGTCTTCTGAAATTTTAGTTCTTCTCCAGTGTGTGGGCCAAATTATGGATGTAAGAAGCATTACACCCCCACAAACTGTTCATTAGAGTGATTCAGTGTTTGCAGGCACATTCTTGGAACTGGATGCTTGAGGGCCATTTCTTAAAGAATTGCCCTAAGTCTCTGTGCATGGAAATATTTTTCCATCCTGAAAAAGAAACAGACGACTTGTTTCTGTAAGATGGCCTGCCTGATGGTGGTAGAAAAGTCTCAGAGTGGCTGTCTAATTCCCAGTCTTGTTCTCTAGCCCTGGGAAAGCCAGCTCTGTCTCCAGGGAGGTCATTATTCTGATAGGAAAAGGGGTCAAGACTGCCCAGTGTTCTTCTACTTGCCCAGGAAGGATTGTGACTTGCTTGAGGTCACAAGATAACGCGTTATATGAACATGTTTGGAGTTTGTCCCTGCATGTGCAGCTGTGCGTGAGGCCCTTCATATAGTCAATGAGCTCTGGGATCGGCGATGGCTTCCTCTGCTTGAGTCTCCTGGGATGCCAATCTGTGGATCTTTGAACATTCCAAAAGCTTCGGATCCACTAGGTTCCAAGAGGTGTTCATCTGGGGTAGGTCTTGTTGCAGAGCCAGGTGAGCTTTGGTTATACCCCATATGACATGGATAGGATTGGGGGTTACTTCTGTCTCTATTAAGTCCACAGTCCCCAGTATGTCTTTTCATGCGAGAGGAGTCTTTTAGGGAGTTGTCCCTTGTTTCCTGTTCCGAGTTGGCATTGCCAGGGGATGGACCTGCTTGGCAGGCTGTAGATAATCTCCCTTGTTGTCTCTTCCACTCCTGGATAGCCAGCTCCTTTTTCTCTTTGGGAAGTTTGTCCAGTTTCTCAGCTTTCAGGAGGGGTGAATTTCCACAGGTGCCTTGCATAGCCAGCAGAAAATACCTGATGGGAGATGGAAAAATAATGAGTTCTTAACACTTATAAATATCTATAGTAACAGGCCCCAAAATGGGAATACTGTCTTGGCATTCGGGTCAGTTGAACCTCTAAATAGGTATCTTTGCTATTCTGGAAATATTGACTCTCAAAAGATTTATGTTTCAGTCCTAGGAACAGCCTGATGCCCTAACCCTGATGGCCCAAAGGACTGAGTGGGCTATGAAGAATTAGGTTAGGTTAGGTTATTTATCCAACAGTATTTTAAAGTGCTTTCTCTGTACAGAACACTGAAATAGAGGTTGGGAAGATGGAATGTCTAGATAAGACAGTACCAGCTTTCAGAGCGCTTACAAAGTATAGAGCTGACACAAACATATCTATAATTTATAATGATATGATACAGATGCAGGAAAGAGGTACAAAACAAAGTGCTTTTTAAGCTCCAAAAGGAATAATTGCTATGGACAGGGAGGATCAGGAGAAGCTTCCAGGAGTGTCATTTCATTGGAATTTAAAGGATGGGGAGGAAATCAGCAAAAGAAGAGGTAGAAGATGATATTCCAGGCATAGGAAATAGGATGAACAAAGGTATAGGGAGCAGGATACATTGGGGGCTGGCGTGGCTGGGATAGGAGATGATGAGAGAGGCAGAGAGTAATTCAGTTTGAGTGTGGGAAGGGAAGACATATGAGGTAGGGCCATGAAGACAGAATCAGAAGTAAGGCCGACTTATCTTTTGATGTAGACTAGTGTAGAATCTGCTCATTAATCATTCACACGCAGTAAGGCATAGGGGAAAGAACTCTGGACTAGCGGTCAGGGAAGTTGAGTCCTAGGCCTGGCTCCAACCGTTGATTTGTTACCTTTGGAAGGTGACCGAACCTCTCTGGACTTGAGGGCAAAGCCACAGATGAGTCTATTTTGTTGGTGGAGGGAGTAAAGAAATTGGGTCTTCCAGGAATTGAACTTGGTGAAAGACAAGATCTAGTATGTCTCAGAGAGAACATATGGGCCTTCTAACCTTGAATAGAAAGAGTGAAAGACTGAATTCTTTAAACTAGACATCCTGCTGAGCCAGCAATGATCACGACATTTGGCTCTATCCCCATGGTAGGGGACAAAAATTTTTAACTGAGTGTTTGATGCAGCTTTTTAGGAGAGAGAATAGAAGCAAAGATGACAGTGGGTAGATATGAATGTTAACAAAAATCATGCTTTCAACAAATGCCACATTGCAGTAAGAATGTGAAACTTGGTTGTGGGACTGAGAGGGACAAAGTCACTAGAGACTTCCTATGCAGAGACAGAGAGAAATCAATCTCATCTAAACTCTATGGAACACCACACTGAGAAGCAAGTGGAAATGAATCACAGTTTAGATGTAAGGAGAATATAATTGGTAAAAGAAAGATTGTATGTACATTTCCTAAATCTGGCACCATCCTGGTGGATTCACTAATTTGTGTCCAGGATTATAAGATGTAGAGTTGGAAAGAAAAGAAATTGTCAACTGTGAGTCACTTATTTTACAGATGAGGAAACTGAGACCCAAAGAATTTAAGTGACTTGCCTAAAGTCACATAGTTAATAAATTATAGATCTAGGATTCAAACTTGGGTCATCTGACTCCAAAACTAATTTTTTTTCCATCATATCATATTGTCTGCCCAAACAGCTTCATCTCCCGGGAATGATATTAACTGTTTCACAAACAAACTTTTTTCCAGTCAAGAATGAAATAGGTCATTTATATAGCTTTGTGCTCCTATTTTTCCTTGTCCTGTTTCTCTAGGTTTTGGGTGCATGAGGGGAATGGATGAAGATGTTGTCTGAAACTTATTATGAAAGTATATTCATTTCTTTTTTGATTCTGTCTTCATCTCCACTGAATCTGTGTCCAAGGAGGAAGTATTAGGTTGGCTATAGCCTAGGAAAACTAAAATCTGTGCAGGTGCAATGAATTTCTGGATTTACCTATGTGAGCCCCTGAAGAAGATTAGAGTGGGGAGCCCTTGAAGATTAGAGAGTGAGCTAAGGCCTTAGGCTTGGCCACATGGTCCTTGTGGATATGCTTTCGACCTTCCCACCACACACTGGTTACCCAAAAGAAGTCTTCATTAGCTCTCAGATAGTCTCTTGCCTGTATCTAATGTTGATAAATTCATTCAAGTTGAACGGTGACTAATACTCAGTATTCTTATTTTACTCCAAGAGCTAATTCTAAGATTATTTATGACACTGACCTGTGTGGCGATATGTTTCCTTTAGAGGCATTTGTCTATATTAGTCACTAGGGAACAATGAGTCAATGTGTCAGAAGGCTCATTTGGAGGTTGTCTGATGTTGGGGGCCTGGATTTTAATTTGCATGCTGATTTATTGTGATTGAACTTGTAATAATAGCACCTCCCTCCCAAGGTGGTTGTTAGAAACAAATGAGATCATATTTGTCTTTGCAAAGGTCTTTGCAAACCTTTAAGTGTAATATAAATGTTAGCTATAATACATTACTACTAGTTGTTATTATTATTAGTTTTGAGGAAATCTAAGATTTTCCCTTTGCTTCAGCTTACCCATTAGTAAAATGGAGAGCCCTATTCTGCTTATGTCATAATGTAATTGCCAAGATAAAATGATAAGACAGGTGGGAGAATGTTTATGAGGTAAAATACTATAGAAATGTAAGATAGCATTACTATTTTATAAGAAATTATAATGAACAGTAGACCTCATAATGATGTGTTTGTTTTTATAAAGTACTTCTTTTCAAAGTGCTTTTAAATTTAGTTTTATTCCTTTTTTCAATAATAACCTCGGATAAGACAAAATGGAAATGAAAAGTGTATTACTATACACATTTTATAGATAACAAATCTGAAGAGGTCACTGGGCTTGCCTAAGGTCACAAAGCTCCTCAGTGGGAGAGCTGAGACTAGAACCCAGGACTCTAGCTTAGTGCTCACGACACTCACTATTCCGTACTGTCGTTAAAACAGTAGCCCAATAGGCTCCCGAGAAATCTGAGCTCCTAATCCCTGGATTGTGGAGTTAGTGAGTGGAGTTGCGGCTCTAGGGTTGTTCAGGCATTTTCAGTCGCGTCCAACTCTGTGACTGACTTGGGATTTTCTTGGCAGAGAAACTGGGGTGATTTGCCATTTTCTTCTCCAGCTCATTAGACAGATGAGGAAACTGAGGCAAACATGGTGATGTGACTTGCCCAGGGTCACACAGCTAGTAAGTGTCTGAGGCCAGATTTGAACTCAGGCAGAGGAGTCTTCCTGACTCCAGGCCTGGTGCTCTGTGCACTGTGGTGCCACCTAGCCTCTCCGTGGCTGTAGGGAGAACAGTCCAAACACGCTAACCTTGGAAGGAGGGCGGCGACAGGTGTCAGGAGGCACACGAGGTAGAAGACAGGATCTGACATCTGCCTCTCCATGATCCAGTAGGGGTTGGCTGGGCTGCTGCAGGTGATGCAGAAGGCATTGTACAGGAGGGAGAACACGAAATAAAGCAGGAAGCTTCCCAGGAGCACAGAGCCGTGGATGAAAGTCTGCAAAGGAGAAAACATGGAGTGATGTCATGCTCAAAGTCAAGGGAAGCTGGCCACCAGTAGCAGTTCTATAAGGTGGTGTTTCCTCCTGGTTCTTAGGACTTCACTGCCAGGCCTGAAACAGGGGTGGGGAGCCCACGCCCCGAGGCCCCATGTGGCCTTCTAGGTCCTTGGATGTGGCCTTTCACTGAGTCTTAAGTTTTATAGAAAAAATCCTTTTATGAAGGGGATTTGTTCCGTGAAGTTTGGATTCAGTCAAAGGGCCACACTTGAGGACCTAGAGGGCCACCTGTGGCCTCGAGGCAGCAGGTTCCACCCCCGCCCTGGAGCTTTCCCCTCTGTGACTAGGGTCTTCTCCCCATGGAATACCCCTCCACCTCTCTGGCAGCCTCTACTATTCCTGAGTTCCTCTTGGGGCCTACATTTTGGGGATGGGCCTGGGCTGTCCATGCTTAATTCTCCTCCTCAGCTCTGCCTCTGACTCTCAGGACATCTCCACCACATCCCCACTCAGGTGCCTTTCCCTTTCTCCCTCAGGTCCCTTTTGTATGTCATCCTCCCCTCATTGGAATGAAAACCTTCTGGAGGCACGGGGCTACTTTTTGCTTATACTTGGCTCTCCAGGGCTTAAAACAGTGCCTGGCACACAGCATGCACTTAATAAATACTGGTTGGCTTGTCTCACCTTAGCTGGCTTTCTCATCTTACTGTGGATCTGGGACTAACCAGAAAAGATATGGGTATTTGAACTTGTGTTAACTCTATAAAAATAACTCTCTTGGGAGTTAGTGGGATGTAGTAGCGAGCTGGCCTTGCAGCCAGGAAGACGTGGGTTCAGCCCCTGCCTTTGACATGTATTGGCGATATGACTCTGGACAATCTCTCAGCGCTCTAGACGACTTCCCAAGATTATGAGTTGCAGAGATGGTGCTGACTGCACTGGGAGAGGGAGTCTCTTCATTTGGGAGTTCCCTTTGGCGACAAAACCACAGGCCCAGTATCCTAATAAGAGTAGCCTTTTATGTGAATATTACAGAAGATACAGACTCTGGACCCTTTTTAGAGCATGTTCAAAATTTCTGTGCTGTGGTTTGGACAACTAGCTCCTTTTCCAAGGGCCCTGAATCATGCCCTGTGTTCGATTTCTCTGCGTGATGGAGCACTGCAGGCTCCATGGACAGAAAGAGGAACTGAAGGGGTTCAGATGCCTGAGATGCCATTAACTTGGTCTGTCTCTTCTACTGAGTGATTACTACTGCAAAACTGCGTGGAGAAGATGTAAAAAAAATGCCTTTTTTGGAAAGATGAATGATGCAGCATATTCAGTTAAATGGCTCAGGATGTTAATTCTATTTCTTTGTAAAGAGAATCGAAATCAGAAAATTTCCCAAATCTTAACAGCCTCATCATCTGTCTTGGTTACAATGGCAGCCTGATTGTGTATTACTGAGTTAAAAAAAGTCTATTTGGTGGCACAGTTGAATGAGAATCATGCATAGAGGTTACTCCAATAAGAAGAAAGTCTTTATGCTAAATTGTTCTATGGCCAGTGCCTGGGATAATCAGGTCCTAGCTTAACTCTGGGGTGAAGGTCCACTGACCAAGGGTAAGGTGGACCGGTGTTCTGGAGCATAAGTATGTCAGGTGAAATCCACATTGTCTCTCTTCTATCTATTGAATTTGTTTCTGCAATCGTAAGGGCATACCATTTGGGAAGAATAACTTTTAAGTTCCTCTAAAATCTGGCCTCATTTTACCTACAATGTCAACTTCTGGAGTGCCTGGACTGCTCAGCTTTTTGTCTTTGACTCCCTGAGTACCAAATACAATGCCTTGGACTTTTCATTTTGGGAGGGGTGTGGATCTGTGATTTTTATTGGTGTAAGAAGCTCCTGCTGTGGAAATTTGGCCAGTGGTTGCAGATCAGCAAGTTGTCTGAAATTCAGCCTTCAAAAGTTGCCTCTGAGGTGCTGAGTGGTTAGGTGACTTGTCCATGGTCACAAGGCTAGCATATATAAGAGGCAGGACTTGAAGGCAGTCCTTCCTGACTCTAAGACTAAGCCTTTATACATTATATCACATTTCCCTTCTCCTTATATATAACAGGTAGCTTAATACATGCTTGTTGAATTGAATGATTTATGAAACCATGTTTCCCACTACTTACCAACATTAATCTTTTGCTCCAATAAGCAGAGCAATGAGGTTAGTGTCTTTACTTTCTCCAAACACTCTGGTTTTTATTCTTTTTTTTTTTTTAAACAAACCTTGTGCCTTTGCTTGTGCTCCATCCCTACCCTATTCCCAAGGTATCTCCCCCTACCCCCAGGGTATCTTCTTCTCATTTGTGCATGCAGTTCATATCCATTATTCAAAGAAGGCTTTTTGTTGTCACTAACTTCTCCCTCTTTGGAAGTGCCGAGGAACAGTTATAATCAGGATTTCACAGTTCAGCATTTAACTGTGTTCTCATTGTTTCATGTTTCTTGGGTTTTGTTTTCCTGGTTAGAATCTAAGCTCTTTAAAGACAAGAATCGTAGAGATATCTAGTCTAAATCTCTTATTTTATAGATGAGGAAACCAAGGATCAGATGGTTAAGTGATTTGTCCATGGTCACACAGCTTGTAAGTGAGAAGTTGTTCCACTGGCATGTATTAAGAGCCCGTCCTATGACAGGCACTGGTGACAGTGATAAAAATGCCAGTCCCCACCATTAAGGTGATTACTGTCTCATGTGTGTGAGGAGCAAGAGCAGACATACACTGCTAAGTCGGCATTCCTAGAATGCCCTCCCCCTGCACCTCCAAGTCCCCTTCTTTCTTGAAGACACAGCCAAAGTACTACCTTCTATATGAAATCGTTCCTGATCCCCACAACTGCTAGTTGATAATAGTAATAATAGCAACAGTTATGATAATAATAATAACAACAATAGCTAGCATTTGTATTGTGTCTACTGTGTGCCAGGTACTGTGCTAAGTGCTTTACAAGTATTATCTTATTTTATCCTCACAACAATTCTAGGAGGTAGGTGCTATTATTAGCTTGATGTTAGAGTTGAGGAAAATGAGGCAAATAGAGGTTAAATGACTTGCCCAAGGTCACGTAGTTAATAAGTGTCTGAGGCCAAATTTGAACTAAGGTTTTCCTGACTCCAAACCCAGCATCATCTCTCAACAATCTTGTATTTAACTACTTCACATTTATTTGCACTTATCCTCTTTATATTCATTATGTACTTTATTTCATACACGCACTTGTTTCTCCTGGATTGTTCCATTCTTTATATCTGAATTCTTGGTGCCTGGCACACAGTAGATGTTTAATCAATGTTTGTCGATTGGATAATTGATGAGAACAATACAAGGGAGAAAGGGTTAAGGGCAAAAAGGGGATAAGACAAAACTGTTTTGGAAAATTTTCGTAAGGATAAATGACTTCCAGTTGGGAACTTGGAGGGATCATGGCAGACTTTATGAAAGGGGGGAGGGGAATAGCACCTGCAATAGATGAGCCTTAAAGGAAGGGAAGGATGTCAACAGGGAATGTGTTTGAGTCACGTGGGATGGCTTGTATAGCTCCACACGTGTGGTAGGGAATAAGATGAGACAAGAGCTACCAGTGTAGTTTGGTTGTAATGCTGAATGGCAAAAGGGGAGGGAATAGTGTGAAAAAAGACTAGAAAGGCCAGTTTGTGAAGTCTAAGCCTAATTGCAGAACCAACTTGGAATCCTCCTAACCTGTCTCCTGGCCCTCTAGACTTGCAGTATCTTATAATTGGAAAGGACCTAAGAGGACAGCTAATTGAATGCAAGCCAAAATATTTGCAGAAATAATTACTAGGAAACCAATTTGTACAGTAGAAAGAATGGTGGATTTGGAGTCAGAGAACCTAGCTTTACCTCCTGTTACAATTTAATTTTGGTAATCCATTTAATCTCTCTGATCCTTGGTTATTTCATCTATAAAATGGTAGGGCTAGCCTGAACGCTTCCTAAGGTTCCTTCTCAACCACACATTGATGATCTTATGGTGTCCATACCCATGTCTTCATTTCCATTGCCTGGTGTAACAGGATTATGATAAGGGAGATGGTATTGATGGGTGTTCCAAAAGTGAAGACACCAATGTTAGAGTCCTTGTAGACCTGCAAAAGAGACACATGGGGATTATAGGTGTGGAATGAATCATATCCTGTCAGACATGGACAGTGCTAATCAGTTTCACTTATCTAGTCTTCTTAGTTGGGTAAGGGGACAGGCGTCATTGGAGAGTAGAAATGTTAAAAAAAAAGAGCATCAGTAAAACATTTAATTAATAAAAATCAAAACCAACCTGAATTTATTAGGTATGTTTGATTAAACAAATATTTACCAAGCATCTGCCATGTCCCAGTCCTTCCTCATTGCTGCCAGTGTCCTCTTCCTCTAACCTGCTTTGTATTAATTTTGTATATATTATGTATGTACTCATGTAGGATCCTATAACCTTATAATCCTATGTATATGTCATCTCCCCTGGCTAAACTCCTTAAAGACAGGGACTATTTCACTTACGTCTCTGTGTTAGTGCCTAGAACGGTGCTTGGCACATACTGAGAACTTAATAAATGTTTGTGGATTGACAAATTGATAGCCAGGAACAGTTTTAGGTGCTGGTGACACAAATACAAAAGTATTACAGCCTCTTCTGTTAAGGGGCTTATATTCTATGGGGGGGGGGAAGGAGGAGGAATGGGAATTAAAAAGGATAGATTAAAAAAAGAGGCATATATTGGCAATGTGTGTGGCAATGACCATCTATCCCTTGGCTTCATAGGAGAGGGTGTGGTAAAATAAAAATGTAAGCATTTGTCTGAGAGTAGAAGCATTTGAGAAGAGGGAGAATTTCTTATCAGGAAGAGGTCATTATGGGAAGGAGTAAGGCTGCAAAGGCAAGCCAGATGTGTGCCTTTTTACTAGGGAGAGAGCATCCATTAATTCAGTGGCAGCCAGACACATTAGAGAGAACAATGTGTTCAGGGTCAAGTTGTAATAGGGAGAGATCATTTTCAGCCAGGGGCAGTAAAGGAAACCAGGGAATTCTCTGTACAGTAGTTGGTGCCTGAACCAGGCATAACAAGGAGGGGGTTCTGGGCATGCAAGGCAGCCTATGTAGATGCCTAGGAGTGGATTCTCCAGGTGCTCTCTGGATTAAATGATTTGTTCTTTCTACAAATGTTTGCTGGTCACTTACTGTGTGCCCAGGACTGAGCTAGGCACTGTGGGGAATACAAACTTGGGATTGAAGCCTGCCTTCTCACTACTTGTATGACCTTAGATTAATTTCTCCCTTCCTCTAGACCCCAGTTTTCTCATCTGAAAGTGATGGGATTTTAGACCAGGTGATTTATAAAGTTGCCTTCAATTTTACATCTGCGGTCTTTTGATTATACCAGGATGAATTTAACTGGCCTAGGTCTCCCCAGCACAACAACTTCTTGAGGGTAGGGACTTACACAAGGTAGGAATTTATTAAGTTCTTGTTAAATTGTACTGGGTTTTCTTTCTCATCCAACATTTCCAATATCATCCAATAATCATCCAATAACCAATATTTCGTTCTTATCTCCATTTACCTGGTGGCAGCCACCCATGTTTAAGGTATAGAGTTTAGGAGGACACTTTGTCTCTGGACTCAGCCCTACACATTGCACAAAACCAAATCCCGTGCCAAAACAGGAAAAAATCCTCAATCCAGGTTCAAGACTGGAAAGTGGGTAATGAACTTACCAAATAAGGGATAAAGAAACAGATGAGGCTCTGATAGAAAGCATCCAACATGGCAATCCAGAAAGTTGACAACTTGTAGAACTGTGGGGAAGGAATTCATGCAGGTTACCATCACCAAAGCTGACCTCTAATGATTGATAGAAAATGGTAGACTCATTGCATTTGAGAGCTGGAAGAGACCTCAGAGATTATTGGCCCCAGTACAGACACCTCAGTCGATAATGAGGAAACCCAGGCTGGAAGAGGGAAAGAAGCATGGTGCCATGGAGTCAGAGGGACTGAGTTCACATCTCAGTTCTTCTAGTTATTATACACATGACCTCGAGTGAATTGCATAACTTCTCTGGGCCTCAGTTTCCTCACATGTAAAATGAAGAAGATAGACAAAATGATCTCCAAGGTCTCTTCCAGGTCAAAATCTTATTATCTTGGCCAAATTCACACAGAGGATGAGCAGTAGAGCTAGGTTTAGCACTCAGACTTCCCATTTTCAAGTTGGATTCTCTTTCTACTCCCCTGAAAGACTTTGCTTGTAGGTGGTATATTTAGGACAATGATATCTGATGTGGTTTTTGGCTTTAAATGACAGTTATAACTGACAGTTATTCAGGCTGTCTATTCATAAATGATCCACAAAAGACCTAGAAATTGGCTAAAGTCACTGGTTTCTGGAAGACAGAGCACAGACTTGAGAAACGTGTGTTCTCATTTCTTTCATTACCTTCTGTGCATTCCTGAGAAAGAGCAGAACAACTTATAACCTGTATTTCAGGTACAATGAGTTCTTTTAGAGTAGGCTTTCTGAACCTGGGATCCAGGAGCTTTAAAAAACACATTTTGATAACTGCATTTAAATATATTTGTTTCCTTATAATCCTATGTATTTTATTTTATATATTGAAAAACATTATTGTGAGAAGGGGTCCATAGAGGCTTTACCAGACCGTTAAAGGGGTTAATGACACAAAATAGGATAAGATCCCCTGTTTTGTTGTCAATGAATAGTTTATCAAATGGATATGATGTTTTCAAGAGTAGAAATAAAAAAGAATATAAACACTCACAAACATACATAAAGCTTGAACAAAATACTTCAGCTGACTTAATGTTCTTAACTTCTGCTTTGAACTGCAAGGATTTTTACTTAAGCTTGGATGAAAATCCTCTATTCTAGTGATCCTCCAGTTTCTTATCATGGCATTGAAGTGACTCTGAGATTCTCAAGGCTGTGACGGCACAGGCAAAGTCTGGTGGGTTCTACTAAGTTGCAAAGGCTTCAGGCTGGAGCCTGGTGACATGGTGTGTCTGTTCTCAGATTCCTGGCCTTCTTAAGTTAAGGAGCTCCGAATATCACTGGCCACCAGGTGGTGTATTTTTTTGGCCATGGCTTTCTTATGAACGCGATTACCTGAGGCAAGGTACTATCTCTCAGTTTCCTGCTTTTCTTCTAATTGTAGCTGCATTGACTTTGTTTGTGCAAAGCCATTTAAATTTTATATAATTAAAATTATCCACTCACCAGTAAATCTCTTTATCTTTTATTTGATAATGAACTCTTCCCCTATCCGCAGATCTGACAAGTAATTTTTTTCATACTTCACTAATTTGCTTATTATATACTTTTATGTCTAAATTATGTAACCATTTTGATATATTAGTGTGATATATTAATCTGTGCCTAGTTTCTGCCAAACTGTTTTCCAGGTTTCCCAATAGTTTTTGTCAAATAGCGAGTTCCTGCCCCAATAGCTGAGATCTTTGGATTTATCAAACATATTAGGTTACTGTGCTCATTTGCTTCTGTATTTTATATAACTGATCTGTCCCACTGTTCAATCTCTCTATTTCTTAAACAGTAGCAGATTGTTTTGATTATTACAGTTTTGTAGTGTAGTTGGAGATTGATACTGTTAGGTCTCCTTCCTTTTTTTTTTTAATTGATTCCCATGATATTCTTGATCTTTTATTCCTCCAGATGAATTTTACCATTATTTTTCTATCTCTATAAAGTAATTCTTTGATTATTTGGTATGGTACTGAACAAGTAAATTAATTTAGACACTACTGTCATTTTTATTATGTTGTCTTGGCATACCCATGAGCAACAAATATTTCTCTAATTCTTTAGATCTGTCTTTATTTGTATGAAGAGTGTTCTATAATTACGCTCATATAGTTCCTGTGTAAGTCTAGGAAGATACATTCCCATGTATTTTTATTGTCTGAGGTATTTTATATGAATTTTTTTATCTCTGTTTTTTTTTGTTAATCTACAGAAATGCTAATGATTTGTGTAGGTTTCGTTTATATCCTGCAACTTTGCTCAAGTTGTTAATTGTTTTGATTAGTTTTTAGTTGACTCTCCAGGGTTCTCTAAGTAAATCATCATATCATCTGAAAAAAGTGATAGTTTTGTTTCCGCTTTGACCATACTTATTCCTTCAATATATTTTTCTTATCTTGTGATAGCTAGCATTTCTACTACAATTGAATAGTAATGGTGATAATGGACGTCCTTGCTTCACCTTTGATCTTATAGGAAAGGCTTCTAGCTCATCCCCATTACAGATAATGCTTACTCTTGGTTTTAAATATATACTAATCATTTTAAGGAAAGCTCCATTTATTCCTGTGTATTTTACTGTTTATTTTTTCTTTTTTCTTTAACAGGAATGGGTATTGTATTTTATCAAACTTTTCCTGCATCTGTTGATATGATTTTGTTGGTTTTATTATTAATGTCAATTATGTTTATAGTTTTCCAATATTGAACCAACCCTGCATTCCTGGTATAAATCCAGCCTGGTCATAGTGTACAATCTTTGTATATGTTGCTGTAGTCTTCTTTCTAACATTTTATTTAATTTTTTTAAAAGCAATATTCATTATGGAAATTGCCTCATGGCTTTTTTGTGTGTGTGTTTTGACTGTCTCTGGTTTAGGCATAGAAACCATATTTGGGTCTTTGAAGGAATATGGTAGAATACTTTATCTATTTTTTTCAAACTTTTTATGTAGTGCTAGAATTGTTCTTTAACTATCATGTAGAATTAGTTTGTAAATTCATCTGGTTTTGGAATTTTTATATTAGTGAGCTCATTTATGACTTATTCAATTTATTTTTCTAAAAGACAGGGTTATTTAAGTATTCTATTTCCTGTTCTATTAATCTTGGCAATTTATATTTTTGTAAATATTTATCCAGTTCATTTACATTGTGAGTTTTATTGGCCTTTATAGTTGGGCTAAACAGATCATAATAATTGCTTTTAGTTTCCATAACTTTTTTCATTTTGGATACTGGTAATATTATGTTTTTCTTTTTCTTAAGCAAATAAATGAATGGCTTATCTATTTTAATGTTTTTCTTTTTTAAAAACATTATTTATTTTTAGTTTTCAATATTCACTTCCATAAGTTTTTCGAGTTTAAAATTTTCTCTCCCTCCCTCCCCAAGACAGCATGCAATCTGATATAGGATCTACATACACATTTATATTAAACATATTCTTACATTAGTCATGTTGTAAAGAAGAATTAGAACCAATGGGAGGAACCACGAGAAAAAAGAAACAAAACAAAACAAAACAAAAAAAAGAGAGGAAATAGTATGCTTTGATCTGCATTCAGACTCCATAGTTCTTTCTCTGGATGTGCACAGCATTTTCTATTGTGAATCTTTTGGATTTGTCTTAGATCCTTGCATTGCTGAGAAGAGCTAAGTCTATCAAAGTTAGTCATTGCACGATGTGGCTGTTACTGTGTACAATGTTCTCCTGGCTCTGCTCACTTCACTCAGCATCAGTTTACAACAAGTCTTTTCAAGTTTCTCTAAAGTTCACCTGCTCATCATTTCTTATAGCACAATAGTATTCCATTATATTCATATACCACAACTTGTTCAGTCATTCCCCAATTGATGGACATCCCCTCAATTTCCAAATATTTTTGTAGATGTGGGTCCTTTCCCTTAATGTTTTTCTTTAAAAACAAAATAAAACAAAAACAGCTCTTAGTTATTTTTTTTTTGGAGGCAATCAGGATTAAGTGACTTGCCTAGGGTCATACGGCTAATATTAATCTGAGGCTGGATTTGAATTTAGGTCCTCATGATGCCAGGGCCAGCTCCTACTTTCATTCGATAGTTCAATGATTTTCTTTTAACTTTCGTTTCTCTCTATTGATTTTCAGGCTTTCTATGTTTGGTGTTTAATTAGCACTTTTAAAATTTGTTGGTTTTCTAGAGCTTTCCATCCTTTTTTTGGTTGTTGTTGAATGCTCCATTTCTTGATCTCCTCTTTCTCTCTTTTGTTGATGAAATAGTTCAGAGACAGAAAGTTCCCCTAAGGATGTGTCTTCATATCATAGAGTTTTATATGTTATCTTCTTGTTGTCATCTTGAATAAATTATTGATTATTTCTAGGATTTGTTCTTTGATTCACCCACTCTCTAGAATTAAGCTACTTAGTTTCCAATTAACTTAATATATGCTTCAAAATTTCCTTATTAAATATGTTTACTGTACTGTTGTCAGAAGAGATGCACTTAATATTTCTGCTTTTGTGTGTTTGTTTGTGAGGTGTTCACATCCTTAATGTGGCAAATTTTTGTAGATGTGCCATGCACAGCTGTGAAATAGGTAGATTTCTTTTTTTCCCATTCAATATGCTCCAGAGGCCTATTATATTTAACTTTTCTAAATTCTGTTCATATCCTCAACATTATTTTTTTTTTTAAATTTTATGGTTAGATTTATCTAAGCCCAAGAGGGGTAAATTGAGGTCCCTTACTATTATAATTTAATTTTTCCTTTAAGAATATAGATGTGTCATTTGGTGCATATATGTTCAGTATTGATATTAATTTGTTGTCTCTGGTACCTTTTAGCAAAATGTAGTTTCCCCATTCATCTCCTTTATTTAGGTCTATTTTTGCTTTTTCTTTAACTGAGAAAAAGACACCTTTTTACTTTTGCTGAGGCATAATAGATTATGATTGGCTCCTTATTTTAACTCTATGTGTGTTTTTTCTCTTTCAAGTATGCTTCTTGTAAACAAAATAGTGCTGGATTCTATTTTCTTTCTTTTTTTAATTTCTTTTAATTTTTGGGCTAGGCAATGGGGTTAAGTGACTTGCCCAGGGTCACACAGCTAGTAAGTGTTATGCGTCTGAGGCCAGATTTGAACTCAGGTCCCCTTGAATCCAGGGCTGGTGCTCTATCTACTGCATCACCTAGCTGCCCCTTGATTCTATTTTCTAATCCACTCTCCTATCCTCTTCTGTTTTAGGGGTGAGTTCACCTCACTCACATTCCCAGTTATGATTGCTATTTATTTCCCTCTTCCCCATTCTTTTATACTTTTCTTTCCCTTTTTTCTAATATCTCCTCTTTAAAAATCTTTTGCTTCTGCCATTGCTTCCTTTAATCTATTCTCTCTTTTATTCCCCCTTAGCTCCTTTTCTCCTAATTCCCTGTGGAGTAAGATTAATTTCTGTATCCAACTGCATATATATTTATATTCTTCCCTCCTTGAACCAGTTCAGGTGAGAATGAGGTTCAAGTGTTCCTCTCACCCCACTCTACTGTATAAACTTTTCCTTGTATATTTCTTTCATGTGAGATAGTTTTCTCCATTCTTCCTCTTCTTTCCTCCTTGTCCCAGTGCACTTAGCTTCACCACTCTTCCATTTTTCTTTTGATATCATCCAAATATGATAAAATCAATACTAAGACTTCTGTCTAATTGGATTCGCTCTAAGACACCTGGTGATGATAAAATTCTGAGAACTTACAGAGATCATCTCCCCATATGTGAATACAAACAATTTCTCCTTGTTGAGTCCCTTATGACTTTTCATTCACATTTACCTGTTTTGTTCTTTTATTAAATTTCTGTGTTTATATTTCACATTTTCTATTTAGCTCTAGTCTTTTCATCAGGAAAACTTGAAAGTTCTCTATTTAATTAAAGGTTCATGTTCCTCTCTATAGGATTATATTCTAGTTTGCTAGGAAGGTTGTTCTTGGTTGTAAGCCTAGATCCTTTGCCTTTTGTTATTTCACATTCCAAACTTTCTGTTTGGAAAGCGAAGTCTTGCATTATCCCGTGTCTCTTCAGTACTTGAAGTCTTTCTGGCTGCTTGCAATATTTTTTCCTTGACCTAGGAACTCCGGATTTTGGAGTTTCTTTCAGGATGTGACTAGTAGATTCTTTCAATTTCTACTTTGCCCTCTGGTTCTTAGGTATCTAAGCAGTTTTGAAAAATTATTTCTTGAAATATAATGTCTATGTTTTTTTAAATTTTTTCTGTTCTTGGCTTGTAGGTAGGCCAATGATTCTGAAATTATCTCTCCTCAATATGTTTTCCAGGTCCATTGTTTTTCTTTTATATTTCACATTTTCTTCTATATTTTCAGTCTTTTGACTTTGTTTTTATTATTTCTTGATGTCTCATGGAGTCATTAGCTTCCATTTGGCCAATTATAGGGCCAAGAAGTTGTTTTCTTCAGTAAGATTTTGTATCCCTTTTACTAATCTGTTAATTCTCTTTGTAGTTTTCTTCCACAGCTCTCATTTGGTTTTTAAAATAATTTTTAAGCTCCCTTTCAAACTCTTTAACTCATTCAGGAATTCTTTATGGGCTTACGGCCATAGGCATTTTTCCTTGAGGCCTTGCTTGTAAGATGTTTCCAAGTCATGTGGTGTGTGCACATGTGTATGTGTGTGCATGTATGCATGTGTGCACATGTGTGTGTCTTGAGCTTTTCCATAACCATAGAAGCTCTTTATGGTTGGGTTCTTCTTATGTTTTCTCATTCTTCCAGCTTCCTTCTTGATTTTGGACTTTATGTTAGTCTGAGTTCTACACACTTTGGCAGGGGGGGTGGTGAGGTGGGGAGATGTCTGGCCCAAGATTCTGTACTTTTGTGTTCTGCCATTGCTTTCATAGCTCAGTATGGTGACCTGAAAGTTTTCAGTACTCTCCAGCTGGTGTGATCCAGAAAGAGGTCCAAACATCTTGGTTTGAGGTCTGGCAGCTCCTGACCTAGATTTGAGTCTGTTGACTTGTGTGTATTTATTTAAGTTTCAGTAAACTGCTTCTGGACTCAGTCACTCTTAAGCCACCGGGAGGCTCTGCGGGCTTGAAGTGATTGAACTGCTATCTCCCCTTTGGTCTGGGACTCTTGCCTTGGTAATTCCACTGTGGGCTCATATGCTGTAGTAAAGGCTAGAGCTGTGTTCCTGTTGCTCTACTCCTGAGCTCAAAACCATCCAGATTCATTTCCAGAGCTTGTTTCTTGCTTAGTACACGGGCAAGGTGGGCCCATGCTCCCTTGAGATTGTAACAGCTCTTCTCTGCCCTGGATCCACGACCAGGACCTGGGCAATTAGTGACCGAGCACCACTGCACCTCTTCTTCTGCACCCAATGCTAATTTAGGGATTCCCTGGGATCTCCTCTGGCCCCAGTCATTCTTGCCCTGGTGTTCCGTCTTGGCCCTCTTTTTCTGGGGAATGGAATTCTACCACCACATCTGCCTCTGAGCTAGGGTCTTGGATGTCCCCAGTCCCAAATGTCTGTTGACCTCTCTGTCTGTCCATGCTTCTCTGGGCTGGAAGAATGATTCATTGTGACTTTTCCTTTGCTTTACAAATTAGAATTTGGTCTGGTGTGGTTCTTAGATTATTGTGGAGGAGATGTTCTGGACGAGCTAGGCAAAAACGCTTCCTCTCACTCTGAAGGCCTTCCCCTTCATCTGCTCAGACCCTTTCCATCCTTAAATGCACAGCTCTAGTCTTACTTTCCCCATGAAGCCCACACTGTCTACTCTGACTCACATCAATTTCTTCCTTCTCTGGCCTCCAGTAGAAGTTCGCCTTCAGATGTACCATGTAACCTTGCATTTATCATACACTTTTTCATATTGTTCTAGATGTGCCTCAGGAGCAACAGCATGGTGTAGTGGAAAGAGCATTGAACTTAGTGCATTGGACTTTGAGTTCAAATCCCAACTCTACCACTTACTATTTGGGAAGGTCATTTAACTTTTCTTGGCCTCAGTTTCTTTCTCTGAAAAAGAAAGGGGTCTGACTACATGATCTCTAAGTTTCTTTCCAACTCTAGAATCAGCTAGAGGGCATAGAGCACTAAAGTGTATAGAAATGCTGGAGTCAGGAAGACCTGAGGTCAAATCCTGCCTCAGACAATGATGATGGTGATAATGATAATAATCATGATTACCGTTTATTTATTTAAAGTTTGCAAAGCACTGTACATGTGTTATCTCATTTGAGCCTTACAACAACTCTGAGGTAAGTACCATTATTATCCCCATTTTACAGATGAAGAAACTGAGGTCCAGAGAGGTTAAGTAACATGCCCAAGGCCAGATTCAAACTCCAAATCCAATACTTTATCCACTGTGCCCACCTAGCTGTGACTCTGGACAAATCACTTAAACTCTTTGACTCACTTTCCTCACGTGTAAAATAGGGATAATAATAGCACCTACTTCTATTGATAATCTCCAATTTATCCTGCATATATTTTGTGTAAACATAATTGTTTGTTGTCTCCCCCTTTAGACTGTTAGCTCCTTGAGAGCAGGGATTGTCCTTTGCCTTTCTTGTATCACAAACACTTAGTATACTACCTAGAACATACTGGGTGCTTCAAAAAGACTGAGTGTCTCCCCAGTTTGTGAGAACGAAATCAGAAAACACATGTAAAGTACACCATATAAATGCCAGCTATTGTGATCCTATGATCTAAGTATGTCTGTTCAACAATAAATAGAAGACCCTATTCTCTATGTCTGTTATTTTCCACAATGGAACACTGTCCTTAGCTACCACTTGAATTCCCTAGTTGGAGCCTGGGCTAAGAAATGTGACTCTTCTGGGCTTACTCTGAGAACTCCAGTCCCAAGCTCCTTACCTTAGAATCCTGCCCATTCCTGTAGAGTTCTGGCAGAGCCAGGAGAGTTTCAGCAGAGATGTTTTTATCTAGGATCCCAAAAATGAGGGGTGGTAAGGAGGTGAATAAGAGGTTGAAGAGTATCATCTGCCAGTAATCGATCATTGTGGAACCCGAAAAACCACAGAAGAATTGGTACCAAAAGAGAAGGTTGACATAGCACTGTAGGGAGAGATGGTGGGATCTTTAGTTACTTCTGGAGCCCATTCAACCCAGGACTTCCAATGCATGCTAATGACAGTAATTTTGATATAATTTAGGGAGAGATCACACAAAGAGCAGACTGCTGCTCTAACTGACATGGAGCTGTTACATGGTCATGAGGATAACAGATGATATTGATTATGTTTTTGATGACTAAGGACATTACATACATCATTCCATTTGATCCTCATGAAAACCTTGTGAATAAGATAGGGCAGATTATTATTAGTCTCATTTTACAGATCAATAATAATAATAATAATGATAACTTACATTTATATAGAGCTTTAGGGTAATAGAAGTACATTATATACATTATCTAATTTCACCCTCATGACTATCTTATTTGTTGTTCAGTTGTTTTAGTTATGCCTCATTGTTTGTGACACCATTTGGGGTTTTCTTGGCAAAGATAGTGGAGTGGTTTGCCATTTCCTTCTTTAGCTCGTTTTATAAATGAGGAAACTGAGACAAACGGGGTTAAGTAACTTGCCCAGGGTCACACAGCTAGATGAGTCTTCCTAACTTTAGGCCTGGCATGCTATCCACTGCCACTTGGCCAGCCTTATCCACCTTGGTAGGTGCTAGTAATTATTATCCCTCACTTCCCACCCCCATTGATAGGTGATGAAACCGAGGACTTGAGAGTTTAAAAATGAATTACCCACATCACTCAGCTCCTTACTGGAAGAACTGAGACTCTGAGCCTGTGTATGTCATGTTTTGTGCACTTGACGCTGACTTGCCAGAATGGAGTCACTCTGACTCCATAGCGGCAGAGTTTGGAGCAGAAGTCCTAACTTTCAGGCCAATGACCTTTACAAGATTCCTTTTTCCTTCTTGTTTTCTCTCTTCTAAAATGCTGCAGCTTCATGGGTTACTGCTTTTGGTTAAAAGTATGCCAATGAAGCTGTCTGCAGTTAGTTTCTTCTTCTTCCTTCCTTCCTTCCTTCCTTCCTTCCTTCCTTCCTTCCTTCCTTCCTTCCTTCCTTCCTTCCTTCCTTCCTTCCTTCCTTCCTTCCTTCCTTCCTTCCTTCCTTCCTTCCTTCCTTCCTTCCTTCCTTCTTTCCTTCCTTCCTTCCTTCCTTCCTTCCTTCCTTCCCTCCCTCCCTTGCTCCCTTCTTTCTCCCTTCCTCTCTCTCTCTCTCTCTCTCTCTCTCTCTCTCTCTCTCTCTCTCTCTCTCTCTCTCTCTCTCTCTCTCTCTCTCTTTCTCTCTCTCTCTTTCAAAACCTAGGTCTGAAAACCTGAACCTATTGCTGTTTCCTGCCCTGGCTCTTTTGCCTCTTTTTCTGCCTGTTGCTTTTGTTCAAAGAGAGAACTGTCTTCATCACTGGGTGTTGCACACCAGGCCAGTCTGCCTCCTGTTGTAGCTTCCCAGCTATGCTACTTGGAGAGGAATCTTTCTTCAGCTAGTCTCTGAAGTGTTTCTTGGAAGCCAGGAGACTAATGAGGCTGTGAAGCATCTGATATAACACTATATACAGATTTTCAAAGCATTCAACATGCTGTTCTTAAGAGTTAGAAGGAAAAAAGCCCTCAGTAAATCTATTTGATCTATCTATCTATCTATCTTGCTTTTAAATTCTTTTTTCCTTCCATACATGATTTTAGGCTTTCCTTTTAACCAGTAAGGTAGATAGGACATATATTTATTATCTGAGGAAGGAACACACGTTTATTAAGCACCTACGTGCTAGGCACTGTGCTAAGTGCTAACCAAATATTATCTCATTTGATTTTCACAACCACCCTAGAAAGTAGGTGCTACCAATTACCCTCATTTTACAGTGGAGAAAACTGAGGCAGACAGAGGTTAAGTGACTTGTCCAAGGTCACAGATAGTAAATATCTGAGGCTGGATTTGAACTTGGGTCTGACTCCAGGTCTAGTGCTCTATTTATGGTGCCAGGTAGCTGAGTTATCTTATCTGTAAAATGGAAATTATAATATTTATTTCCCTATCTACAATGGCTCTTGCAGGGAGCACATCTGATATAGCTGTAATCTGAGTTGTTTGTTATTATTATTGTTGTTGTTACTGTTAATTTAAAGGCAGAATGCTGTATTGGATAGACAGCTTTGGAGCCAGGAAGACCTAGGTTCAAATCTTGTCTCTGACACATGTTGGCTGTGTGTGACTCTGGGCAAATCACTATACCTTTCAATGCTGTAGGTAATTCCATAAGACCATAATTGCAGATAAAGTGCTGGCTTGCATTGGTAGAAGGAGCTGAGAGTTCCTGCTACCAGTAAAATCACAGGTCCTTTCCCTATCTATAGTCTCCCTCCTGTCCCCATGTCTCCTGGCAAATCCTAGGCATTTCTCTCTTAGGATTCGTTTCTAAGAGAAGGAGAATACTTCATTTTACAGATGGAGGAAACTCCATCTGTCTCTAAAGACAGTCTTAGTCACACAGCTGCTTAGTAATGGAACTAAGATTTACTTCATAGACTGGACTAGGAGTTCGAAAATCTGGTTTCTAGCTACGGTCCTTTCAGTTGCTAGGCACATGACATTGGACAATTCATTTAACTATACTGAGACACAGGATAAGGCAAAATTCCTACTGTGGAAACTCCCCCCACTAATGCAGATTAGTAGCTCATATGCCAAATATGCTCTTTGAGGGTTGCTTAGAGCACTAAGAGATTAAATGACTTGTTCTTGTGTCAAAGGCTGGACTCAAAACCAGTCTGTCCTGATCTGAAGGCTGACCTATCCCCAATACTATGCTGTTTCAGTTTTTTCATCTGCAAAATGGGGATAATAAAATGCTACTATGTTTGAGCTGACAGGGGGCCTTAGAAATCACTTTGGCCACTTTACAGATCAAAGAACAAATGGCCTAAGACAGTGAAATGATTTTCCAAAAGCCAGTGTGATTTGGGAAGCTGGGAATTGATCCCAGGTCTTCTGATAGGCAACATTAGTGCTGACTATGCTTAAACTGTCTACCTATTAAATACCTGCTCAGCCTTCTTCGCTGAGTTGTAAGAATCAAATGACCTCGTGTATAGAGACACTTGGAAAAGCATGTGTTATGCAAATGTAAGGAATTAGGCAACACTTAGCATATGTCTTTGAATGATGAATATTTGAAAAATATGTTATTCACTTTCCCAACTCTTTCCACTCCTCCCCTTTCCATTTTTCTCTCTGGGAAAAAAAAGGCAGAAGGAAAATTTTTGAAGTGTTGAAAAGGAAGGTCTGTCTGCTCACTTTTATAGACCAGAACAAAGGTTGGCTCTTCTCAACTGAGTATATCTTTTAGAAAAATCTGAGCCAAACCATTTATCTTAAGGGCAGCCCCAATCATTGAAACCCCATCTTGTTGGAGGTACCAGCCAAAACTCATCTTCCCAATGGAAGGTAAGCTTCTTGAGGGAAGTGAATATTTCATTTTGGTCCTTGTATGCCTAGCATTTAGCACAGTGCATGGCACAAAGTATACACACTAAATGCTTACTGATTGATTGATCTTGGGGCAGCCTGATCTATCAGCGCTAAGCATGAGTTATCTTTATTTCTTTTTAAACAAGAGACGAGAGCTCATGTTCACACTCTATAGGGAGGATAGGGATAGAGATAGATACAGGCATAAGGAACTGGATTTATGATTTCATTGGTGGAGGGAATTCCCAGATAGGAAAGTTCCCTCTACCAATTCAGGCTGGGCCTCTATAATTTACAGTCTTACAGAGTTGCCCAGAATTTGAGAGGTGGTGACTTGTCCAGGATCAATAGCCAATATGTACCAAGTTGGATTCGGACCGAGGTCTTCCTGGATTTGAGACAGTTTTGCATTTATCATGCCACGATCAACATTTCAGACAAAAGCTCATTGAAGTTGGTCATAGGATCAACATCTCTTTACCCTCACCCCACTAACGTATTTTTTCCCCTCAATGAGAGAGTGACTGAGGGTTTTGTTTTGTTTTGTTTTTACAGAAGGGAAACAATATGGTATAGTGGCTAGGGAATTGGACCTGGAGTCAGGAAGACTTGGATTCAAATCCTTCCTCAGATGCTTGCTAGCTCTGTGACTCTGGGCAAGTCACTTAACCTCTCTGTGTCTCAGTTTCCTCATCTGTTAAAGGAGAGAGTTGGACTTGATGGCCTCTAAAATCCTTTCCAGCTCTAAATCTATGATCCTGTATTTTCCCTCTCCTAGCAAAGATCTGGGAACATTTTGTTGTCGTTCAGTTGTTTCAGTGGTATCCAACTCTTCGTGACCCCATTGGGGCTTTTCTTGGCAAAGATACTAGAGTGGTTTGCCATTTCTTTCTCCAGCTCATTTTATAGGTGAAGAAACCAAGGCAAACCGGGTTAAGTGATTTGGCCAGGATCATACTGCTAGGAAGTGTCTGAGGTTGGATTTGAACTTGGTTCTTCCTGACTGCAGTCCTGGTGCTCTGTGCACTGCCACCACCTAGTCACCTATGTGCTGGGCACATAGTAGGTACTAAAAAATTATGGAAGGATTGCTTGACCTTGGATTCAGACCTTTATGAATCAGCTTAGGAAGAATTTATATATCCTTCACCATCTAGACTGCAACACCAGAAGAGTACTTATTTTATTTTTTGCTGTCTCCTCAGAGCAGTTCAGGATCTGTTGTTTCCCCACCTTTCGCTATTTTTTCACCTTTTGAGAAATGCTTTAGATCTGGTGATGGCATTTCTTCAATTTCTGCCCATACTGTTTCCTCTGAGAAGCCACAGCAGCCGTAATTAATTCACTGTTCAAACTTCTAAGCAGCCAGGTTTTTAATCCCTGATGAAATGGGTTGCGGATGTGGAAGTCATAGTTCTCTACCCTCTAATTGCAAGGGGGAGATAATGCCGCATCAGTGTCACCCAGTTAGAATACTACATCAGGCTGGAAATAAATATCACATAAGCGTTGAAAGCACACTCAGCCAGGAAAAGTTTCTTTCTTTCTTTTTTCCATATTAGAAATTTAATGTTAAGAAGTCATAGAGTTATTCAGAAGGATGACTTCTTAAATACATATTTTTTAAACACGGACACTGAATTCTAAGTAAACAATCTTTCATGCTTAAAGTGAATTTTGAGTCAAATGGAATGACTTGTTTGCACTGACTTGCTGAAATGCAATTACTATCCAGTTTATCCAATTTGCATTATTCTTCTCACTGCTACTCATTTACATATACATTAAACTTTGAGCAGATATGCTTGCTGTATTTGAGTGGTGATGGTTGACAGCGGCTGCCAGCAAGGCCCAGAAAGTGGAGCAAAAGATAAAAATTGGGGTTTTTGAGACGCCACTTGTCTAATGTGTCTGTCTTCCATTCCCCTGGTTCTAATCATCCTTTTTTCCTTAAGCAAACAGGAATCAGATTATATTTGGAGGTGCTGGGGGATTATTCCAAGGTCCTTGAACTAGATAATGAAAAGCACTAACTCAGGCATTTGTGCCCTCTTTGGCATAGCAATGTTCTGACTCTTACCATTTTTTTTAATCAAGAGCTTCTAACTATAGTCCCAGAATCTCCTAGAAGGCCTCAGTACCACAATGAGTCTGTGCCTCACCCTAGTGGTGATAACTCATACTTTATTTTGATTTTTTTTGGTCCTCAGAAACATGGCAGGCAAACATTTTCAGGGACAAATGGATGTTGTAAAATGATTTTTCACATCCACATGGACATTTATACTTTTCAAAATACTTTCATGCACATTCTCCTGTTTGGTCTTCTCACTATTTCCTTGGGGGTACACAAAGGAAATATCATAATCCTCATTTTACAGAAGAAGAAACCAAGACGCACAGGTAGCTTTATTTGCTCAAGTTCAGTTTGTTCTATTCAACTGAGGCAGGCGCCTTGTAGTGGATGGACAAGTGAACTGGGAGTCAGCTGGCCAGGGTTTTAGGCCTACCACTTGACCTATGACCTCTTGCAAATCATTGGATATCTCTGGGCCTTAGTTTCCTCATCTAAGGTTCATTTTCATTCTGAATTCTGGATAAGGGAAGGGATCTAGAAACTGTCAGGACATCTCAGTCTTCTGCTTTCTAGACTAGCGGATAAAACTTGTCCCATCAAAGATTAAAAATTTGGATCTTCCCTGGGAGTTGCATTCCCTTCTTTTTTTCTCTTTGTTTCTTTTCCTTCCAGGTCCCCAAACCCAGTTCCTCCCAGTTTCTCAGAAAACAAGAACAGTAGTGACAGGCAGTAGGGTAGCAGTAGACAGCTGGGTGATACAGAGTATAAGCATGCTGGACTTGGTGTCAGGAAGACCTGGGCTCAAATCTTATCTCGGGCACTTATTAGCTGTATGACTCTTCACAAGTTGTTTAAACTCTCCTGGTCCTTTCCTTTTCTTCAAAAATAGGGACAATAATAGCACCTAACTCACAGGGTTGTTGTAAGGATCAAATGAGATAATGTTTGTAAAGGGCTTTGCAACCTTGAAAGTGCCTAGATAAATGCTGCCTACTCATCATCATCTTCATCTTCATCATCATCGTTACTGTTACCCCTTGCAGAGTGCATTGGCCAATTTGATATTGGGTGTCTTGAGGTTAAGTCCATATTAAAGTGACACATCCTTACTGAAGTATTAGATGTTGTTAAGTGGGAAACTAGAGCATTATACAAAAGTAGAGGAATAGGAAACGGTCACCTTGAAGGAAATGAGTTTTGCCACCATTAACATTCATAGTAACATTCTGTTTATTCCCATATATGAGGTAGCTCATGGAAACTTTACTTTTCTAGGTGTCAGCTTTCTCATAGGTAAAATGAGGGGGCTGAAAGAGATATTAGAAAATTTCTCCTGTAGCTCTATTCAATGACCCTCTGACAAGTGCAGAGGGATTTGTTTTGTAGGTAGAGAGAACTGTGGCTCAGAGGTGACTTGTCTTGCCTGAGTTCCACAGCGTGTCAATTGGTGAAGGGAGGAGAAAAAAAAATCTCCAAATTAAGCACATTCACATTTATCCCTCTCTCATCCTCTTATACTTTTGATACCTTTTCAGCAGTTCTTAGCCCCCAGACATTGTCCTGGACCTATAAGACACCCCTCCTTAGTGACCTACCTGGTAAAACTACATTTTTTTATATCTTGGCTAGCACTTATCCACACCTCAAAACTTACCTGTCCTATGTCTCATCTTCTTTACTCCCTTACTCTCTGTAAGTGTGTTAAAAAGGGCATCCAATTGGTTAATACTTTATATTTGTATATTTGTAGCACATTTGTACCTCAGGCACTGGAAGGCTGGAGAAGGCGATACTGATGTAGGCAAGTCTTCTGTCTCTCCATTAGTCACAGTGAACAGTGGCTGTTCTATGATGAGGGCTTTCCTGGCCCACAGCAAAGGCTTGATGGGCAGGGCAGGGTCCTCACATACACAGACCTAAGGGGGGCACTTACCACATTTTTGTACAAGTAGTAAATGACCATCCTCGCCAAACGTGAGTAGCACCAGTGGCCGTGTACAAGCAGGAGCTTCTTGAGATGCTTGAAGCGAGAGATGGCAAAATCGCTGGACATCACAGCCTGAAAAATTAAAGCTGAAAAGTCTTTCATCTAAACTCGACTACTATACCTACCCTGCCCGAGATGATTCCCCATCTCAAAGAAACTGCCCAGGAGGGAGAAATCTCACTCTTGTATCTCCAAGGGGCAGGGGCTGAAAGGGTAATAATCACTCGTACGTGATAATTGGACTAATCTGCTCTGCAATCTCTTTTGTTTAGACATACAAACCACTTCCCACCTCATTTCTGGTGAGATGGAGGACCAAGCCACCAGTTACAGTTGGGATGAATAGCTTTTCATTCCTGTGAGGTCTGTTTGATGATAACTTCCAAAGAATGGATTTTGACCAAATTAGACAAATGGTTTCAAAACTACCTTTCTAGTATCCTAAGTTTAATTTGTGATTTTGGCTATCAGCCTGAAAAAAAAAATTGTGGCTGGTACAGATTTTCAAATGTATTGACAGAGCTTAGCTCTTGTAGTTTTTTAAAAAATGGATTACATGAAAAAACTTAAACCATGGGTAGAAGTTACAGAGATGTGGGATTAAGCCAAGTGAAATTGATAGCTCACAGGACTACTAGTTTATACTTAACTTTGGAACGAGACCTTGGTTTTGTAATGCAACCCACACGTTGATTGTACAGTCAATTCCCTAAATAGCTGGCTTTGGACTTGGCCCAGACATTGGGCAGGGAATAGAGAAGCCTGAAAGACAACCAGCTTGTGCATGGTAACGAGTTGGCCTTATCTCTTCTTGAGAGCAAATCACCTACAAACCTTAGGTAGTTGCCTGTATCTAACACAGGGAAAGAGTGAGAGAAAAGGGAGGATAGCAATACCTGCATGCCTTCTTGTCCAGATATCCCAATTCCAACATCAGCAGCTTGAATCATGCTCACATCATTTGCACCATCACCTGAGAACAGATGGAGAATGACTGATGAAGAGTGAATAACAAATGGGGCTTCTGTGGTTTTGTGTACATTTCAGAGCTGAAATGTCGAAAGACAGGCTGCAGATGCCTCGGACTGAAAACAGAATCAGAGGGGCTATGAGGGAATTAGAAATCATTCCTTCACTGTCATCTTTTTGTCTCCATTGCCTAGCATAGTGCAGGGCATAATGTAAGTGCCTGATGGATACTTGTAGAATTTTATCAATGAGGAATAAGAGGCCAAGAGACTTGTCCAAAGTCACATAGCTAGATAATAGCAGAGTTTGAACTAGAATTATGAGCCAATGACTCTGGATACAGAGTTCTTTCTAGTTCACCTTATTTTCCTCTCTTAGCTGAGTCCTTTTGACATGGCACTGAATGAAACTTGAAGGGAAATCTGTCACTAGAATATTGGACCCTAGAGACTTTACTATTACAACTTTTCTGCTTTTCTCAATTTTTCTGATTCCATACATTCACGCGGATTAAACCTTCCTCCCCTAGGTATAGCGCACATGTCTCTATCTGTTGTTGATCAGTTGTTTTTCAGTTGTGTCCAAGTCTTTATGACCCCATTAGGAGTTTTCTTGGCAAAGATACTGGAGTGGTTTGCCATTTCCTTCTCCAGCTCATTTTACAGATAGAAACTGAGGCAAACAGGGTTAAGTGACTCATCCAGGATCACACAGCTGTAAGTGTCTGAGGCCAGATTTTAACTTATGATGATGAATCTTCCTGACTCTAGGTCTAGCACTCTATCTACTGTGCCAACTAGCTGCTTTCAGGCTTCTCTGCATTCCCTGCCCAATGTCTGGGCCAAGTCCAAAGCCAGCTATTTAGGGAATTGACTGTACAATCAATGTGTGGGTTGCATTACAAAACCAAGGTCTCATTCCAAAGTTAAGTATAAACTAGTAGTCCTGTGAGCTATCAGTTTCACTTGGCTTAATCCCACATCTCTATAACTTCTACCCATGGTTTAAGTTTTTTCATGTAATCCTATTTCCTGTCTCACTTTGTCTGGTGCCTCTTTTGCTCTCATCCTATTCTACATTGTATCATGTTATTTCTACGGATACACGTTATTCTTTCCCACTGGACTGTAAGCTCCTTCATGGCAGGGGTTGTGTTTCTGATTGTGGCATAGTGATCAGTCCTGGGAGCCTGCGCTTTAGAGGAACATTGACAAACTAGAAGTTAATCAACTAGTACATCCAGAGGAGCCCAAGATGCCGAGGCACCAGGAGGCTGTGCTTTATAGCAGCATTGGCAGAAGGAACTGAGGATGTTTAGCTTGGGGAAGAGAATCAAAGGCAACATGATAGCTGTCCTCAAGCATCTGAAAGGCAGTCATCTAGAAGAGAAATTAGGTTTGTTTTTGTTGGCGCAAGGGAGAACAAGAAGCAGTGGGATGATGTTCCAGAGAAGCAGCTCTTTGGTGCGTGTGTGTATATGTATATGAGGATATCTGGCTCTCCTTCACTGGAGGTCCTCAAGCAGAATCTGAGTGACCACTTGGGGAGAATTTTTTTTTGTGGGATACTTTCACAGGATTTTAGTGCTCAAAGGGATCTGGGAGAGCAGTTGGTCCAAATTCCTCATATTATAGATATTCAATCAACAAGAATTTATTATAGGTGCCTACTGTATGTCAGATGAAGAGACTGAGACTGTTCAAAAAGGGGTAAGACTATGTGATGTTGAAATCCCTTCTACTTCTGAGAATTTGTCATTATGTGATTATTTGCTAAGTACTTAGAACAGTGTTTGGTATATAGTTGTCACAATAAATATCTGTTGAATTGAATTGAACCTTAGAAAATAGGATTGAATGAAGTTTTGTTTGGGGCAGACTTAGGGTTTTTTTTTCCTGAGACAACCGGGGTTAAGTGACTTGCCCAGGGTCACATAGCTAGTAAGTGTCTGAGGATGCACATTTAGTTTTAATGAACTTAACACACTTAATAACTAAAACAAATTAACAAAGGTGCTTTATGTGGGGCAGCTAGGTGGTGCAGTGGATAGAGCACCGGCCCCAAAGTCAGGAGGACCTGAGTTCAAATGTGGCCTCAGACCAAACATTTGACATTTACTAGCTGTGTGACCCTGGGCAAGTCACTTAACCTCAATTGCCTGAAATTTTTTTAAAGAAAAGGTGCTTTAGGGAATCTGGCATTAATCTCTTTATTTTCTGTAACATGAGACCTTCTTTTGCTGAGGGAAAGGTATCTTTCAATGGGATAAGAGCTAGACCAACCACCACATTGTTTCTCTGAAGATCCCTTTTTTCTCCAAAGCCTGATTCTGAATTCACTTTTAGCAGCTTATCTCTGAGTCTGCATTGCCTCTACTTTATTTATTTTTTACAGCTGCTTCTCAGTAATAGGCTGCAATTAAATTAATATTATTCACCATAAAGAATGCTGAACTTGGGGAGAGAAAAAAAAATCTTCCCATAATTGTTTTGAAACAAATTTATTGATCTCAAAAAAGTAGCATGTCATCTGTGGCTGCCTTTATTCTTCCCATAATAGATTTTAAAAAAAAAACCATAACGTGGAAATGAATTATTCCAATTTTCCCCATGGCAGAACTGTCTCAGCCTTTAACCTCTTCCATTAGCAAGCCCTGAAAAGTGGAGGTGAGGCACTCAGCAGTTTCCTCCTGAGCTGGCTTTGTTTCTGTTGCTATGGGATTACAGTACATCTCTGACCCTAAAGAATGAGCTCTGTGATATTTTTGTGACGAGTGGGAGACTGAAGCTGAGTGGAGGAGAATTCTGGATCCCAATGGGCTGCTCTCACCAAGGGTTTGCTCTCTTGTAAACTCTACACAGCTTAATGTTGCCTTATGCTGAATACTTAGACGAGATGTAATTAATAGAAGGGATACTGTGCAAAGTGTATTGAAATTTCCACCAAATTTCATGCTACAAAACCACAGATGAGGACTACAGACAGAGAAGGGAAAATATAATGACTTTATCTGTAAGGACATTGCTGTAACTCTGATTCTCTTACTAAGATCATAACCTAGGTTGTCAGCTCTTTCAGAGCAGGGACTATCTTTTGCTTTTCTTGGTATACTCAGTGCTTAGCACAGTGCCTGGCAGAGCAGGTGATTAATAAATCTTTATTTACTGACTGAAAGGACCTTGGATGGGAGCTAGTCCAGTCTTTTCAGAAAGCTGTATCCCAGAGACTTATACACGTGCAATAGACAGTGGCAGAATTTGAACTGAGAACTTTTGACGCCAATGACAGCTTTCCATTGTATCCCAGTATGTCAGGCTCAGAGCACACCTTCTATCTTAGGGTTACACTTACTCAGTGGGAAATCAAATGGAATAAAAATAACATCTATTTAAGTATTTGTTTTATAAGTTACTAAGTTTAGTTTTGGAATGTAGGAGGCCAGAGGGAAAAGCCTGCTAGAGGATCAGGCTCCTTTCTGTGCCTCTGTCATTAATAATTTCTCTGTGCTTTACCTGAACTTCCTAGATTCCTGGTCCTTGTCTGCCTTAACTCTTGAGACCTGGTTACTTCATTCTAATTTACTGATTTCTTAGCTGCTTAGAACATTCACTTCTTTTGACTTCTTTTGACATCAACCACAACCTTCTTGGACTCTCCTTTGATCTCTTGCCTGTCAGAGCCTATTGTGACTTTGACTGTATTCTGGCTGCTGTGCAGTCATTTCGGTTGTGTCTGATTTCGTGAGTCCCATTTGGGGTTTTCTTTGCAAGAATGCCAGTGTGGTTTGTCGTTTCCTTCTCCAGCTCATTTTACACATGAGGAAACTGAGACAGACAGGTTAAGTAACCTGCCAAGGGTCACAAAGGAGGAAGCGTCTGAGGCTGGATTTGAACTCATAACCACGAGTCTTCCTGATTCCAGGCCCAGTGCACTATCCACTGCACCACCTAGCTGCCCATTAACTCTATCCTACTGATCCCCAAACCGCCTGCCACGTCTCATTCTGGTCCTGACCCCTGCCTGGCCAGCTGGGTCCCATTGTTCCCAGTCCCTGGTATGATAATTACCTATGGACAGAGTCATTACTTTCAACTGGTCCCTCACCAGCTTGACTACCATGCTCTTCTGGAGTGGAGTAGAACGACAGCATAGGACTGAGCGGCAATATCTGGTCAACTCCAGAAACTTCTTCTCCAGATTCCCTTGGAAAATGACATTTAAAGTCTTCCCATCAACCACCAGCCCAATATCTGGACCTGCTGCTCCCATGGTGGAAGATGGTGCCTGAGAAAGAAGGTGGATGCCAAGAAACTGGTTTTCTGCTTGGCTCGGTTCATAATATCTCTTCACCTCTTCCAAAGCACAGTTGAGGATCGATTCACAGGTCTCCTATAAAAGGAATCATAGAAGAACGAATATCAAGATTTTGAAGTCTTTCTACTTTCTTCATTCCTCACTGTAGCATTTGAAATAGCATCAAAGATATTTCAGTGGAGCCAAAATCCCTTGCTTCAGTGGAACTCAGGAGAATATGACTAGAGCAAGAACTTGTTCATTAAGATGAGATTGATCCAGGGACGAAATAAGGCAGAAAACAGCACCAGCAACAACAATAATAAAAAAAAAAAATAATAAATCCTGCCACCTTTATTATGCTGAAGAGGATACATTGCTACCCACCTGGCTGCTGCACTCTAAGACCATGGGCCCCTTCCATCTGACTTGCAGTTGAAACTAACTATGGATGTTGTCTCCACTATTAGAATGTAAACTCTGTGAAAGCAGGGGTTGTTTCACTTTTCTGTTTGTATCCCTGATACTTATCACAGAGTAAATTATAGTAAATGCCTGATAAATGCTGTTATTTCTCCATTTCTTCTTTCCTTCCCTTCTTCCTCCCTTTCTCTCTTTCATATTCTTTCTCTCTCCCTTCATTCCTTTCTCTCTCCCTTTCCCTCCCTCCTTTCTTTCCTCTCTCTTTTTTCTTCCTTCCCTCTCTCTTTCCCTCCCTCCCTCCCTCCCTCCTCCCTCCCTTCCTTCCCTTCCCTCCTCCTTCCTTCCTTCCTTCCTTCCTTCCTTCCTTCCTTCCTTCCTTCCTTCCTTCCTTCCTTCCTTCTTTCCTTCCTCTCTTTCTCTCTCTCTCCCTCTCTTCCTTCCTTTATTCCATTCATTCTATTCTTTTCAAAATGCTGTCAAATCCACATTTGATTCTCACAACAACCCTGTGATACAGGTAGGATAGAAATTAGTGTCTACAAAACTTTGAAGAAAACAGAGATGTGGAAATCTTTAAATGGCTTGGCCACACTCATAATGTGAGTCTGTCATAGAATGGGTCCTAGAATTCAGGTCCGCTAGCTCCGAGTTCAGTATCATACCAAACCTTTGTATTACACAACAATGTTATTTAGATAGAACTTCAAAGTTTGCAAAGCACTTTATATGAATGATCTCATTGGCTTCTCATAACAACCTTGTGATTTAAACACTAGTGGTATCAATAATCCCCATTTTACAGATGATGAAATAAATTAAAAAAACACAACTAAGTGGTTTGTTCATGGTCACACAGCTAGTTAGACTTGTATAGACAGGTCTTTCTGATTTTAAGTCCAGCACTCTAGCCCCAGTGTCAGATTGCTAAATCTTTTCCACTGGTCTGACATACACATCAGCACTGAGAAACTGTTGATACACTGAAAAATACTTCATCACCTTGCAGTCATTTCAGTCAGGTCTGGGCATGATCTGAATATGAAAGAAAATACAGATAATCCAAAATGAAGGAAGGAGAGGGACAGGGAGAGGGAAATGGAGATAGATGTTCCTTTATGTTGGGTCCTAAAAGGTAGAAGGTTTAGCTGATTACATATATGAGTCTTATTTAGGGAGATAAATGGTCCAGATAAATTATCGATTCACATAGTTTGTTTTGTCCTTGCCTGAGTTGTATTAGAAACTACATGTTTGATTTTAGGATAATTAAATCCCATATTACATGTATCTGGAGGCTCACAATTCTGCAAGGTATCAGAATTTGATCCCACTCTGAGAAGCATTTGGCAAAATGTTTACTTTAGTGTCCCATTAACTCATTATTCCTCTTGTAATCTGTTGATGGAATTGTTTCCCTTTGAACAAATTTTAATAGGAATGGGGCTCCTGTTACCACAGAGTATTAGATTTGAAAGGGTACTCAGATATCATCTAGTCCAACCTCTCATTTTATAAAAGGAGAACACTGAAACCTAGAGAAAGAAAACAGCTTTTGCAAGGTCACGCAGGGGTCAGCAGAATATTGTTATGTGTTTCCAGACCTGTGATTTCATTGGTGTGGCAATACTCTCCGTTGATGCTGAGAGAGGCAGCTTGCAACTGATCTGTAAATTACAGTTTTAGAGACTTGCCTGGGGCGTTGCAAGGTTATACAAGCTAGTACACAGGACTTGAACCCAGGTCTTGTTAGTTCCAAGGTTGGCCCTTAATCCATTGTATCTCTCTGCTTATCTATATGCAGGCAAATATAGTGCTTCGCAGTTGCTGATGGATTCAGCTGATTCAAAGCACTTCAAAGTCAGGGATGGAGGCTTTTAATTTGTCAGTTATTTCTCTACAAAGGCAAAGATAGGTGCCAGCAGGTTGGGGCTGCTCAATAAGAGGTACTGTTACTAGCGTGACCTAGAAAGTTCAGCACTCCTTCAGTCTCACTGCCAACATGTTGGAGTACTAATGATTCACTTCTCATCTGTCCTTTTTGTTGTCACCCCGTGCAAGGTATGTGTGTGGGCTGCACCAGGGTTTAAATGGGTCATGGGTAGGAGTCATTTGAAACAGTCTCTATTTTCTGATACCCAGTGGCTCACCGGGAGAGCTCACAGCATCATCCCTGGCACGCCAAGGAGGCCGTTACTCCTCCACGCTGACTGTGAGCCTGGAGACAAAGCAGGACTCTGGTATAGGTCCTCATCTCCCTCCGTACCCCAAATGAACCTGGATTGACTTTGATTCATTTTCTGTTTACTGTTATGCATTCACGTTATTTTCTGTAATTGAACGCAAGCTTCATTGGCCCATGCGCTGTTTCTCACACACAATATCCCATGTCCTGACTTCATGCACTTGCAGTGGCTCTCTCTCTCATGCCTTCAAGGCTCTTCTGCCTTGCTGCTGATGCCTATCTTCTCTGGCTTCCTTTAATAGCTGTTTGTCAGTTGTGTTTGACTTTTCACGACTCCCTTTGGCGTTTCCTTGGCAAAGATACTGAGGTGGTTTGCCATTTCCTTTTCCAGCTCATTTTACAGATGAGGAAACTGAGACAACCAGGGTTAAGTGACTTACGCAGGATCACACAGTTAGTAAGTGTCTGAGGCCAGATTTGAGCTCGGGGAGATGAGTTTTCCTGACTCCAGGCCTGGCTCTCTATCCACTGTGCCACCTAGAGGCCGGCTTCCTTCAGAGCCGAGCCCAAATCCCACCTTCCTCAGGAGGCTTTTCCCATTCTCACCTGCTGTTAGTCCCTTCTCTCTGACATTATCTTCCAATTGCTCTCTCTATATCTTGTTTATACACAGTCGTTTGAATGTCATTTCCCTGTTAGACTGTGTGCTCCTTGAGATAAAGGTCTGTGATTTTTTTTCACCTTTCTTTGTCTCTCCTGTGCTTAGCACAGTGCAGGGAACACAGGAAGTGATTAATAAGTGCTTGGTGAAGGACTGACTCAAATTCAGGTTTTCTGCTTCCAAGATCGCTGCTATTATGTACAGTATTAAACTGTCTGTCTTTGTTTCTTTCAGTGTCAAGGACAGTGTTTTCTTTCATGAACATTTGTTGAATGAATGATAAATGTAGTCAGGTAGATCTGAATTTGAATACTGCCACAGACACTATGTGACTATGGGCAAGTCACTTAACCTTTGTTGGTCTCATTTTCCCATCTGTAAAATGGGTATACTAATAACATCACCTTCCTCACAGGGTTATTGTGAGGATAACCATGATACTACATGTAAATAGTGAATCTTAAAGAACCACATACTTTTTAAGCTATTACTATTACTACTACTGTTATTATTACTATTATTACTTCTCAGAGGACAAGGGCAACTTTGGAGATGGTCTCAATAGTTTGTCTGCAACTGATTTGAATGTGGGTAAGCTCAATGACAGATTACTTTTGAGACAGACTAATCAGAGAGCATTCCAGGCTCTTTGGGAAAACATCTTGGGTTGAAGAGACCTGACACCAGCAGCTCTCTCCACCACTCCAACTTTTTTTTCCTCCTAAGGTTGACTCACACTTTTCAAGATGCCTTCTTCCTCCTCCAGGTATCACCTGGAGGAAAATTATTATTGCAAATGAAATTTCCATTTCAAGCAGAGGAGGCAAACATCAACACCATTACAGGATGAGGCACTTAAGCAAGCTGTAAATTACTTTTTTTTCATAAGCATAATATTAAAATCAAAAATTTTTCTGAGATTATTTTCATCTTGAAACTTCATTGTGGTTTAATCTAATCACAGAATAATCTGTGCATCTGATAGAAATACAAATGACTCTTCCATGGGTGTGGGGGCAGGGGGCTTAGACCTTTTTCTTATGGAGAGTTATCTGTGCTTGCTATTGGGCAGTTTCTTGGTAGACTGAAAACCAAGCCAGAACATCTACCCAATCCAGCCCCAGGCCAAACTGTGGCATGGTTCTTGTTTATTCCTAGTACCCATCTAGCACCCAAACTTTTTTTTTCATCTTCTCATGATATCACGGAGGTAAGAAATCGTGGCATCTGTCCAGTCCAATTTCCTTACTTTATAGATTTCTGAGGAAACTAGGGTCCAGAGATGTTAAATAACTTGCTTGAGGTCACACAAACAGAAAACAGAAGAGCTCAGGTTCAAACCCACGTCCTTTAACTTCCAATTCAGTGCTCTTTCTACTCTATTATTTTCCAGGTGCCAATGCCCTCTTGCTGCAGCCTGGCCACCCAGGACCAGCCTCCTATCAGTGTTCTATCTTGTTTTACATTCCCTCCTTTCCATCAAAACTTACCTGTTCTGGGTTGCCATTTCCTAGGTCCCATCTCTCCTGGGACTAATTTGGGAAAATAATCTGAACTGAGTTACTGGGAGATAAACAATTGAGTGTTTTCCTTCTTCTACATTTACATTTTAGTATGTGTGCTGCCTAAGCAAGCACATATATTTACATTTTAACAAGGGCCTCAAGTTAAGTGCTTCAACTCGTGGGATTTAGTAACCTGGGCATTTCAAGATCAAAGAGGAAGGAAGCTGGAGGATTGTATAATGGAAAGAGCATTAGTAAGGGGATTAGGAAATTGGAGTTCTAGTCCTATCTGTGCCACAAATTAGATGTGTTAACGACCTTGGGAAGGTCATTTCATATTTCTAGGCTGTGATGTCTCCATCTACAAAGGGTGGGTATTGAACTCAATAATCTTTTCTAAGGCTCAAAGGTCTCATCTAGTCCTTTCCATTGTTGAAACTCTATATTCCAAGGTCCCTTCCAACTTTGATATTCAGTTCTCTAAGGCTCTTTCCAGTTCTAACATTCTATGTTTTAAGGACTTTTCCATTTAGAAGAGAATTTTTAAAAGATCATCCTTCTTACTGCCCCTCAAATCCTGCCATGAGGCTTAATCTCCTCTTCCCTAAGGTGGGCTCTGGACTTGGAAACTAGGTTCCTGGTCTGGACGCACCTGACTCTCTGTATTGATGGTATAAACGGTGTCTGTCTGCTCCAAGAGTTTACAGGCATGTGCAATATTGACAGCTGTTTCCTGCTTGTCTCCTGTCAAGACCCAGATCTGGATCCCTGCCTCTCGCAATGCAGTAATGGTGTCTGGCACACCTTCTTGTAGTCGATCTTCAATCCCAGTTGCTCCTGGGGAAGAGAAGAGATAAGCTGGGTCACCTATTGGGGAAGACATTGAGGGATTTAATTCTTTAGGCATAATCATCCTGTTGAAATTGGCCCTCTTAAATTGAAGACCCACAGCAGAACTGATGCTGCATTTAGGTTGGAGATAATGTGGCTGAAAGGGGGATACTAATTAGGCCGGCAGATTCCTTATATTTTTTGTATTATCTTAAGCTCAGCATCAATCCTTTGTGAATATACAACAGAATATTGAACAGTGGCTAAACGATTCAACAATCAAACAAAATCTGCATTTAAATTGAGGCTTTTTTTTTTTAGACCAAAGACTTGGCTACTCATTTCACTCACTGCCCAAGCAGAGCACTTCATTCTTTTTAATAATCCAAAATGACAACTCGCTGGCAAAGGAGTGATGCTATAAGTGTGCTGAACAGATAATTTCCTACTGCAGGACCTTACATGAATGCAATAATAGCATAAGAATGCAGTTTTATAGTGTGGCTATTTAATGGAATGAGAGTCTCTCTGTGACAAGTGGAAATCTTTTCCCAGCCTCAGTTCTCTTCCAGCTACCTTGAGGGAGGAAAAAATGATTTCTTGAGGAAATGTGTTTGCTTTGGATAGCCAACCCAAATGCAGAAGTAAACAACCATGTGAAAAATTACAGTTCTTGCCTCATTTTTTCCTCCAGGGATCAGGCAGGAGTGAAACTTTGAAGATGATATAGATCAAAGTAGGAGGTAGACGGAGGAAGGGGGGAAAGGACATTTATTTGTGTGAAGAAGAAAATGAAACTTTTTCGCCAGGGAGACTGAAAGATCTTTCATAGCTAGATAAATTGACAGGTTCTGACAAGCTGTATTATCCCTTCTTCAGTCCTAGTTTATGAGGACTTCTCACTAGCTGGCCTAGAAAACTTCCCTTCTGAGCTATTGCAGAGTCTGGTACTGAAAAATTAGGAAATCTTATTGAAAGGGGTATGTAGTATCTGGTGCTGTGACAGAGGCCACCAGATCAGAGTCATAACTAGGAAGCATTTTGCTCAGGGCAAGTAGCACAAAGGGTCGCCTCACTTGGAGGGGTGGGGATTGGACAGGAAAAAGGTTTCTAGAACCACAATGTAGGTTTGCTTCTGGGGAGGCTTCTCCAGGGCAGGGCAGAGGAAAGCATTCATGCCAATATGCCATCTACTAGGTTCTTATTTTAATTTTTATTCTTGCTTATTAGGTGCTAAGCTTTATTATTTCAGTATAGCTAAAGGACTTGACGTGCTGTTAAGGCAACCTCTAAATCCAGCACCATTAAGTCAAGAAGCTTTATTAAATGCCTACTATGTACAAGTCATTGTACTAAGCACTGGGGAGACAAATAAAATTTAAAAAAAATCCCTGCTCTCAAGGAATTCAATGTCTAATGGAGGAGACAACATTCAGACAACTATATACAAACATGATGTATACAGGGTTTAAGTTGGAGATAACCTCAGAGGGAAGGAGGGAGGTCTAGGAAAGGTTTCTTTTAGAGAGTGGGACTTTAGCTAAGAGTTGTAGGAGGTAGAGAGGAGGAAGGAGAGAATTCTAGGTATGGGGGGAACAGTCAGTGAAAATGATCAGAGTCTGCAGATTGAATGTTTTATGTGAATAACAGATAGGGGGCCAGTGTCATTAGGTTGCAGAGTACATGGAGGGCTGGTGGTACAAGTAGACTGGAAAGGTAGGAAAGGGCTAGGTTAATAAAGGCTTTAAATGCCAAACAGAGAACTTTATAATTGATCTTGGAGGCAACAGGGAGCCACTGGAGTTGATTGAACAGAGGGGTGACATGGTCAGATCTGAGCTTTAGGAAGAAAATTTGACAGCTGAGTGGAGAAAGACTTGAGATAAGGAGACCAACCAGTAAACTATTCCTACAAGTCCAGGTGTGAGGTGGGCCTGCACCAGCGTGGTGGCAATGTCCAAGGAGAGAAGGAGATATATACAAGAGATATTATGAAGGCTAAACATTCACAGGATTTGGCAGCTGATAAGAAGTGGGGCGAGGTGAGAGAGCTAGGGGTCAAAGATGACACAGGTTGTGAGCCTGGGTGTCTGGGAGGGTGGTACTACCCTCAAAAGTAATAGAGGAGTTAAGAAGAGAGGAGGGCTTTTTTTTTTTGGATAGAAGATAATGAATTCAGTTTTTTATGTGATGTCTATGAGACATCCAGCTTGAGATGTCCAATAGGCAGTTGGAAATGTGAGAATGGGGTTCAGGAGAGAGTTTAGGCTCCACAAATAAATCTGAAAATCATCAACATAGAGATAATAGTAGAATTCATGGGAACCAGTCAGGTCATCAAGTGAAATAGTATAGAAGGAGAGGGGAAGAGGGCCCACTTTAAAGTCTTAGGGAATACCCACAGTTACTGGTTAGTGAGCATGACATGGCTGAAGATCCAGCAAAGGATACTGAGAAAGAACTATACCACAGAAATGAGGAGAGACAAGGGACAATTGCTTTCAGGGGTGAATGTATGAAGTGAGGCTTTTTTTTGAGGATGGGGAAGGCATGGGCATGTTAACAGGCAGTAAGGAAGCATCCAGTAGAGTAGGCGATTTTGAAGTGAGAGAGTGGGGATGAGAGATGGGACAGTCTGCTGGAGGAGATGGTTTGGGATGAGATGGGATCACTAATGCATACAGAGGGGTTTGCCTTGGCAAAGAGAAGGCCCACTTCTTGTAAAACATGAGTAAAGAGGAGAAAGTGGCAGAAGGCATTTGAATGGTGTATAAGAAGAAAAAGAGAAGGAACTCTCTGTGAATGGCCTTCAGTGTTTTGCAAAGTTCTCAGTTGAGATAGTAGGGGTAGGAAGAGGTAGGGGAGATTTGGTGAGGGATGAAAAGGTTTGGAAGAGTTGCTGTGTAAATGGGATAGAGTCAACTGGGGGGAATAAGAGGATCGCCTTGCTGTAGTGAGGGCCCAATTGAGACTATGTAACACAGATTTGTAGTGGACTCATGATTTTCTCCAACTTCATTCAGAAGTATGTGAGTAGGATCGAAGGCAATGGATAATGGAAATAATCCAAGGTTGAAGCTTTGCAGGGTAAGATAGGATAAGGGGTAAGGGACTCAAGAGATGAAACTGGATAGAGCTGAATGTTTCATCAAGGACTCGAGATAGGGAAAGAAGGGGAGTGTAACCAATGTAGAGGTGATGGCCTGGGAAAGAACTATGGGGTCAAAGGATTGGAGGTCAAGGATAGGATGAAAAACTGGTTTCATTGCTGTAAGGCAGGCAAGAGGTAGAATGGTAACAGACTGTGATAAAGGATAAGATAAAAGAGTGTTAGTTCTATGAGCATGGAAGTGTGCACTCATCAGGAATTGTTAGATGGCTTGTACTCATAACTTTGAGACCTCAGAAAATTCTCTGGGCATACTTTTTGAGGCACCTGTACCTCATTCAAAGGCTTGTTGATTTCATTTTTTTCCCTAGCTTTTGTTAATAAATCTTACGATGATTCTACATTCTCAAGGTGTTTTTTTTTCAAGCAAGCTTTTTTTTTTTTCACCTGATTTCAACCATGCATCATGAGGTAAGGTAGGATACTTACCAATTTCCTCCGGATTACAAAGGAAAAAACTCATACCTGAAAAGGTTAAGATCATATAACTTAATGATAAAGCTCCTGGCTGAATCTCTCTGGTGTTCTAGACCATATAGACATTGATCCTGCCTCTGGTAAAATGGGAGCTCATGGAGAGCAGGAACAGTTTCTTTTTAGTCTTCATCCTTAGTACCTATCAGCGCTTGGTAGTAATTGGGGAGATGCTCATTAAGTGATTCCTAGAGAAAAAGAGCAGGTGTGACCTACTCTGACTTATCTTTAACACTCTACTTAGTGCTAGGGACATCCATCAAAGAAATGCTGAAGAAGCTTTGGGTTCAAAGCAACTGGAAAACTTGCCTTGCATTTCACCGACTCCCCTTTATTTACTGTCTAGTCCTGACCTTGCCACTGGCCTCCCTGGCTTCTTTTAAGTTCTAATAATCCCACCTCCTCCAAGAAGCCTTCCCTAACTCCTCTTAATTCTAGTGTCTTCCCTCTGCTAGTTATTTCCCATTTGTCCTGTATATAGCTTGCTTAGAATATATTTGTTTGCACGTTGTCTCCCCAGTTAGACTATAAGCTCCTTGAGGGCAAGGGCTGTCTTTTGTCTCATTTTTGCCAGCACTGTACCTGGCACATAGTAAACACTTAAAAATGTTTCTTGAATTAATAAAGATTATCTATGGACATTGGGGAAATCAATTCATTTCTTTGGGCTTCAGGTTCTTAATATGTGACATGAGACAGTTGGATGACATGACTTCTACAATCCCAGATTCGACATTTTGTGTTTTAAAGTCCCTTCCAGCTCTGTCATTCATTGTTCAAAGGTCCCTCCCAGCTATGATCTTTTAGGTTCCAAAGTCCCTTCTAGCTCTAACATTCTATTTTCTAAGGTCTTTTCTAGTGCTAACTTTCTATTATTCTATGAGTCCATAGAGACTCAGTTCAAGATAGGAAATAGACTGAGCTTTGAGGAAGAGGTGGACAGGATCCAAGGTAGACTGGCTACATGAGTTATATAATATTCCCAGAGGGAATTCCTCTGAAAGCAAAGTGAGCAGAACTTGGATTAGTATTTGAGATATTTCATTTGTGCCAAAGGTTTGCAAAGGTCTCCTGGGGATGAGTATTCAATTTATATCTATTTAAAGTCTTGGCGCTATCAGAGCCAAGAAGTTTCTTTACAACCACCATATTTCTCTTTTCTCGTCTGATAATGACTTATTTGTAGTTACCCAGTAAGGTGAGCTGAGTCTCTAGATGTTGGGCTGTCTCCATTAGTAGCTCCTCTTGGTTGTCAAGGGCTGCTTCAGCCTCACGGCGGAAATTGGCCCACCTCTGGAAGTCCTCTTCTTTTAAGACCTACAGGGCAGATAAGGAAGTTGTTTCCAAACTCCAGTTTATTGCAACAGATCCTGAACTGGATTAGGCTTGTGTGCTATGAGCTCTCATGTTCACATTTAAGCTTCTCTGACCTTCACATCCTAACTCCTGCAAGAGGACTTTGCTGATCTCTTCCGCTGCTACTGTCTTCCCTCTCAGGTCCTCTCCAATTTAGCCTGGATATATCTTGTATGTACATAGTCGTTTGCATGTTGTCTCCCCCGTTAGAATGTAAGCTCCTCGAGGGCAGGTACTGTTTGTTCCTGTCTTTGAATTTCTAGCACTTAGTACAATCTCTTGAACATAGTAAGAGCTTAATAAATACTTGTTAACTGACTGTTAATTTTACCCCCTCAGACAACCTCTCCTACCAATGGGATTTGACCTCTTCCTCCCCAGAATTACTATCTAACTTTGTACCTCTTGTTTGGCACTTGCCACATTCAGCCTTTGACAGTTAGGTGGTGCAGTGGACACAGTGCTGGGCCTGGAGTCAGGAAGACTCATTTTCCTGAGTTCAAATCTGGCCACAGACACTTACGAGCTATGTGACCCTAGGTAAGTCACTCAATCCTATTCGCCTCAGTTTCCTCATCTGGAAAATGAGCTGGAATAGAAAATGGCAAACCATTCTATTATCTTTGCTAGGAAAACTCCAAATGGGGTCACGAAGAGTCAGATATGACTGAAAAGCAGCTGAACAATAACACATTCGGCCTTGTGGCATAATTATTTGTGTGTTTATTGTATTCTTTCCCCCACCAGCCCCATACTCCCTGTCTGGCCTAGGCCATAAGCTCATCAAGGGCAGGGACACTGCCTTATTTAACTCTGTTGGTGAGATGTCTGACACAGAGGAAAGAACTTTAATGAATATTTGGTGAATGAATGAATAATGAAATGATTGATTAATTAATTCTGCTCCCCAGGAGCTAAGGAAGTAAGGTGTCTATTCTGTGAGCACAGTACCAAGGATGATTCTTTAACAGACTCATTCATCTTCATAGATTGTCTTTTGAAGCCTCTAGATCTAAAAATGGCTTCCTATGAGCTGAGCACCACATCAATTATATATTCAGTTTAATCAATAAGTGCATTTGGAGTGCTTATTATGTCCTCAGCCTAGTGCTAAGTAAGCATTGTGGGGGATACAGAAATCAAAGACCTAGGTCTGGGAACTTGAGCTAGGCCTTGAAGGACAGGCACGATCTAAGTAAGCAGAGGGAAGAGGGGTTTCAAAAGATTGAATAGTCAATGGAAAAGTGGTTCCACCCTCTTTGAGCACCCCAAATAAAGAACAGCTGAAGGAATACCAGAATCCCTTAGCATTATGTTGTCTTAGTAACATTACAAGACCAATGAGCAGAAATATTCTTCCTACCTTCTTGGCGATGCAGAGTGTTCGTAGCCCATCTCTTGCATACCAGTCAAGGTGTTTCTGGGTCTTGGCCCGGATTTTTCTCAGCTTCTTCTCTGTGACAGGGTCTATTGCCATCAAACAGTGATTCCCAATATATGGTCAAATGCAAATTTTGGGAAAAGTCTCACCTCCCCCATTCAGACTTTGCAAGGATCATTGCAAACCTTTCCAGCTAAAGAATTCCATCAACTTCCTACTCTCTGGACAATGTTACATCTCTGAACCACCAGGACGTCCTAGGAGATGTCCTCCCCAGTCCTGCCCTCTCCTGGATGTTGCCCCTGTGATGTGGCAGCATGGACTAAACTTGACAATTGTCTTAAGCAAAGGGTCAAGAATTAACATTCACTCACTTCTCATCCTGAGCATTTGTCCCTGAGCAACAGCTGACTATGCAGAAGAAAATGGGGCTGACTCAATTCTAAATCTTGTCTGGAATCTGCTATCCTAGGAGAAAATCAGTCCCATAGCTGTCTACTTCTTGTTAGTAATAAAGATAGTGGCTGCATCATAATTAATGCTGTCTCACATTAAACTCTCATATCAAGGGACTTTGAGGTACTTTGTTGGTTTCAAGAGAGTTTATGCAAATCTTTTTGGAGGAAGAAATGAGAAGAGGAGTATTTCCATTTTACTGGTGAGGAGACTAAGGTCCAAGGAAAGGGAAAACCCAAAGGTTTTCTGGGTGAGGAACAGAATCCTGGCAGCATGATATAATGGGCTTATCATTAGGAAGCCAAGATTCTGGCTCGTTTGCTAACTAGCTCTGTGACCTTTATAGCTTTGTTGAATTTGGGCCCCAAATGAAGGGATGAGATTTCACGACCTCCAAAGGCCTTTTCATTCCTACAGAATCATCATAATCTCCGCCTTCTAGCAGTGGGGCAACATGTGATGATGGAAAGAACGCTACTAAGTTTAGTGTCAGCAGACTAAGTTCAAAAGCTGATTCTGAGACTTGCTAGCTACATTGCCATGGTCAGCCTGTTTCATATCATTGGGCCTCTTTTTCCCATCTGTAAAATGGGAATGATAATCCTCACACTATCTCTATTATCTGTTGAATGTGGTTCATTCCGATCCTCTACCCAATGGGGTTCTTTTGGTCTTCCAGTTCTTTAATAGTATGTGACCCATCAGTAATCAGTATCAGTTCATTAGGTCCCATCAGTAATCAGTTTACCTTTGGCAGGGTTTTCTAGCAGGTCCATTATGACTGAGTCAGCTCCCTTAGTATAGACAATGATCTCACCAGTCAAGGGGTGTCTTACAATCACTGACATCCTCTTCCTCACCGAGTCAAAACCCAGGGTGTAGAGGAGGTCAAAGGTGAGAAGTGTCCCCTGGGGCAGACGCACAGTCACTTGCTCAGGGGTCCTGGATACCAAGGTAAAGTTGTAGGCCCGGGCAGCATGCACAAGAGCAGCTTCATCGGGGCTCTCGGCCTCGTAGTAGAATTCTGGCTCTGGCATCACTGAGTCCAATACATCTTCCAAGGAGGGGCTTCTGGACCCCAAGGTGTCATGCTTGGTCATGACTTCTTCTTTGGAGCTGCTGTGGTAGCCAGCATCTGTTGAATATCCACAGCTGTGACTGGATGAGTCATCTTGCTCATCTGAATCTATAGCTGTAGAGTTGGGCCCTAAACTTTCCCCAAAGTCAGGTGGAGTGGTGGAAGAGAAGGACTGGCTGAAACTGGAGAGTTTAAGCCTCTGGAACAGCTGGTGAAGCTTCTCTAGGGAAGCTCCTAGGGACTTCATCTGTGGTGGGATGGTGACCTTGACATTGAGAGGAAAAGCAGAATGTTATTTCTGCAGGGAAAAATAATGAAATTACCCACAGGCAAGTCAAAGAATAAGACAGATTAAAAAGGTCTCTTCTCTCCAAGTTCTAATTCTGCTGGACTCTTTGTTACTTAGAGGTTATTTTACCAGTAACTATATTATCCAGATCTCTTGCTAGGTCAACTGATAGCATGACTAATGTGTTGTGTGACCTGGACAAGTCACTTTTCCTTTCCCAACCTGAATTGTGTCATCTAGAAAATAAAGGAATTGACTTTTAAGATTCTCTAAGCACTAATGTTCTGTGATTCTCTATGCCTGTAGGCAGATGGCCTCCCCCTTGGAAGATTTTTTAAAAAATTATAATACAAATTATGATGATCTTTTATCCTACGACATTATTTACCCCAGTAAGTTATGTCACCTCTCTGAGTATGTTCATCCCCCTGTAAAATGGGTCTAATGGTAACTGCCTTACCTATCTCCCAGGGTTTTGTGATGATCAAATGAGATAATGCATGGGAAAATACTTTATAAATTACAAGATGTGTGGAAGTGTTCAAGGATGGACTGGATAACCCTTAGACAAGAATGTTGTGGATCAGATGTTCAAACATGTGGGCTTCATTGCTGGCACAGCACTCCCTCTATACCCCGAACCAGATTAAAACATAATTGGGAAATACTGAACAACCTAAGTAAAAATACAATGGAACATAGACGATACTAAGATGTGGTTTTCTAAGTCAATACACTGTCTGCAGGGATCCTTGTGAACAATGCCTCATTTCTATGTGAGTTTGACACCACTGTTATAGATGACATCGACACTTTAGGAAAGGATGGAATGAAATTATCTTAAAAATCCCTCCCAATCCTAAACTCCCAAGATTTTAGAAAAGCGTTTTGTAAATAATAAAGAGAAAGGACGTGGTTATAGTGCTCCTGGGTCCCTGGGCTCTCATAGCTGAGCTTTGTTTCCAAGCCATCCTTTCCTCTCTTCCTTTCCCCTTTTTGTACAAGCTCCTTGAGGGCAGGGATTATCTTACTTGTCTGTGTATGCCACACATAGCACAGTGCCTGGAACACACTAAGCACTTAATAAATGCTTTCTCATTAAGTCATAAATATTTTTAATTCATTAATGGGATCAGTCTTCTGAGATTGATGCCTTTCTTTGTAGGTTGCCTTCCATGGGTTTACCTAGCCAGTATTTTCATACAGTGAGCTAGAATTACAGAATTATCAGTTTTAGGGTTAGAAGGAACTCCAGAGGGTATCTATCCCCTAGATATATGGGGCCATAGAGTCATAAACTGAGAGCTGCAAGGGACCTCTGAGCCATCAAATCTGCCACTTTCTTTTCCAGATGAAGAAACTGAGGTTGAGAGGGGTTAAATGACTAGTCAAGGGCAACATGGCTTGAACTCGGATCTTCCTTGCTCCAAACCCATTACTCTGTCCATGGCACCACCAAGCTGCCTAATCACAGAATATGAGAAATCGGAGGAAGAGAGATATGTTCCAGGCACTATACTAAGTGCTTTTACAAATATTATCTCATTTGATCCTCCCAATAACCTTCTAAAGTAGGTGCCAATATTATCCCCAGTTTATAGTTGAGGAAAGTGAGGCAAACAGATTAAATGGCTTGCCCAGGGTCACACAGTAAGTATCTGAGGTAGAATTTGAACTCTGGTTTTCTTGACTCCAGGCCCAGCTGTGCCACCAGCTGCCTCAAGTTTAGAGATCAACCCCTTCATTTTATACATGACTAAACTGAGGGGAAGTGATCTGTCCAGGTCACAAAGCTTAAAAGTAGAGCCAGGAGCAGACCCACATCTCCTGACTCCCAGTCAGGTTTTTTTAAAGCCCTCCCACACTCTCTCATGACACCTTACCCGCTGCCTGGGTTCTGTTGTTGTAGAGACCATGACAGAGTTGCAGATGGCCAGTGCAAGGAAGAAATCAGTGATGGAGGAGCCTGTAGAGAGGGAAGTTTTGGTGACCTTGTGGGCTGTCAATGTTTCCAGTTTCAAGGTGGCACCTTTCACCTTTGTCAAGAGACCTTGGTCTGGAGCCACATCCTTTTCCTGGGAGAAAAACATTTGAGTGAGAATTTCTTCAGTAAATGAACTACAGGGAAAGGCGCTTATTGGCAAGGGTTTTTGCACTACTGGGGAAAAGCAAGCACAGGATTGAGAATTAAAATCTTTCTCTAGAGGTGTTCTGCCCCCAAAGCTCCCAAACCAGATGTCTATTTTCACCATGATGTATTCCTTCATTCTACAACGAATTTCTTAATGGTTCCCTATGCTAGGTATTAGGCCTACCCTGCTCCCACCTCCCCAATCATTGTGGATGAATCATGAAATTTCAGAGACAGAAGGGACCATAGTGATGATCTAGGCTGACCCTTACCCCCCAAAAGAATCCCAAAGCAACACACCTGATGAGTGTTCATCCAGTCTTTTCTTGAAAACCTCCTGGGAGAAGGAACCCACTACTCTCTCCCCCACCCCACTTGAAGGCAGCCCATTCTTTATTTGGAAGCTATGTCTAGTGTCAGCGTACTCATCCTCAAAAACACTCACCATGTTCAGGGCATTGTGCTAAATGCCGTCACAAAAACACTCATCCTTAGGGCAGAGGAACAACTCAGAGAATTTTTAGGGAACAAACATGCATTGAACTGGGCCTTATTTTGTCATCTCAGCCCTCTGCTCCCTGAAGATATGTTGGCTCCCATGCGGGGCACAGCATTGCCAAAAACACAAAAACATGTTTGTGTCTTCACTGATACAAATGCCACTACTACTCTGACCCTATTCTCACACTGGGGAAGGTGAAGCAACCAAGAGAGTACAGTCCCCCAATCTAAAAAGGGACATGCTGGGACAGCTAGGTGGTGCAGTGGATAAAGCTCCAGTCTTGGAGTCAGGAGGACCTGAGCTCAAATCTGGCCTCAGACACTTGACATTTACTAGTTGTGAGACCCTGGGCAAGTCACTTAACCCTACTGCCTAGCAAAAAACAAAAAACAAACCCAAACAAATTAAAAAGGACATGCCCAGATACACTGTCTTTTCCCTCCCAAACGCCTGATGAGCGGTAGCTGCTGCTAGACACTTTTTACATGAGCCCTTGTATTATAATAATAATTTTTTTATTGTCTTCTCACCTTCCTAACAAATATTTACAGTTTGAGAAAATGGCCTCTGAGGACCCTTCCAGTTCTGAGATGCTTTAATTTGTTGAGTTTATCCTCATACCCTGAAAGATATTGAAAGGACCATAGGAAGGCCTGAGTGGTTCCTCTGTGGGGGCTTTATGGAAAGACATGAACAAGAATTACACGAGATGAGAAGGCATGGAGAGGTTGGTACATCAGTGAAAACAATGTTCACGTGGATAAAATTATGACTCCATTAAAGTGTAAGTACTCATACTTGGCAACTTGGTGGAATAGGGGATAGAGAACTGGCCCTGGGATCTGGAAGACCTGAGTTCAAATCTGGCCTAAGACGCTAGTTGTGGGACCCCTGGATCATTTAACCTCTGTTTGCCTTGGCTGCCTTTTCTGTAAAATGGGGATAATAATAGCAACTACCTTTCAGGGTTATTGTGAGGATAAAATGAGATGATATTTGTAAAGTGATTTGCATATCTTAAAGCACTTTGTAAATGTTATTTATTTATTTTAAACTGTATGGATTAATGAATCATACTTTAAAAAATTTCAGACACTACCTGTGTGATGCTGGACAAATCAATCAACCTCTCTTATCCTCAGTTTCCTTATCAATAAAATGGGGTAATATACCTCATTCAAAGGGTTGTCATGAAGATCAAATGAGAAAATGTAAATAAAGTTCTTTAAAGCATATAAAGTGCTTAAAGCATTATATAAATGTTAACTTCTTATCACTTCTTTATTATCGATCAATAATCAATTAACCAAAAAGCATCTGTTAAGTACCTCCTATATGCCTCACACTCTGTTAGGCACTGGGAATATAAAGACGAAAGTGAAACAAACCTGTCCTTGAAGAATTTGCACACTATTTGAGGACACCAGACGTACAGATATAAGCACATGGAAATAAAATATGAATACAAGATAAATGGGTTAGGGGGTTGGAGAAGTCAGGATCAATATAACCCCTTTCTGGTGCCTCATCAAGGCATGGAGGGATCCTATGTGCTTGACGTCTATGCCAGAAGAGCATGATCTCTGACATGGAAAGGTTCTGAATACGGTCTTGGCGATAAGAGTTTTCTCCAAGAATAAGCCTTGCTAAATGCATAGAGGCTCATCTCTCAAAGGTTGCCTGTTTACTATTTCAGATGATTAAAAAAAACATAACAATATATGGAACCATCTATGAAGGTATAAAGAGGTTTAGGTGATAGCTATATAGAGGCCATCTAGTACAATCTGTTCCTTTAACCTCCCTGAGCTTGTTTCCTAATGTATAAAAACAAATTATTCAAAATTGTACAGATAATGAGCAAGCATCAGGGGAAGAATTTGAACTCAGGTCCTCTGACTCCCTAGCCAGTATGCTATGCCATGCTGCTTTCCATCTTAGGGACTGGTGGGCTAGTGGGATGAGTTATTTTAAACCCTCGAGCCTTCTAGGCATTCCACATACTGGCAGTCACCATACTCTACCTTTTCCTAAGGTCACCTGGCTTATTTCAATCATGTTCAGATAGCTACCAATATACCCAGCTAAAAAATATTCTTTCCATTTTTGTTCTAAGATACAGGTAGTTACTATTATGGGGAAAAAGACTCCAGCATTCATAATGGAGGGGGGTCCTTGGAAAAAACTGAGCCTGAAGGCACCCTATATTTACGTTCTTAGAGACTGGGTCTCAAGACCCTGGCCAGCAATTCTGCAGTACGTGTTCTTATGGCACCATGAAACTGCCTTGGACAACTTTCCAATGATATGGAGCAGTGCAACCAGATGACTCAGAGGCAACAGCATGATAGGCAGACTGTAGAATGTGGAAAAAGGAAATCATCATTGTAGATAATTTATAAACACGATGTACTGGGCCCTGGGCCAAGATAATAACACAAGCAAGTTAGGTCTTTGTCCTCAAAGATCCTACATTCTAATGGGTGAAGACTGACTCATAAAAGAGAGACTAGGAAGGATTATTTATCTTCTTATCCCAGCATAGCTGGAAACTACTGCTACGATGAGTACTGCTGCTAATATGACTACTAGTTCTCTTCCAACTTACCTAGATAACAAACAAGTTAATTTTGGTCTTTTTGTATCTACTGAGAGCCTCTGGTTCAAAGTCTTCTAGTATCATGTCAACTTGTTGCTCGTTGGAGAAAGGTTACATGGTAAGAGTTACAACTTAATTAAATTAATGTTTGCAAAATGTCTAGGAGCTTTTGGGAACTCTGGTGCCCTCTTGTCCCCACTCTCACCACTGAGCACAGAGCCCACTTTTGAACTAGATTTGGCTCAGGAATTGGCTTTTTTCCATTGTTCATATGGAATTAGAATTTGGTTTCGTTTCTGAGTCCCAGGAAGCTTCGGAAGTCCTTGTCAGGGACTTTTCAGCAAGGCAAGGAAAGAAGTAAAATATGTACATAGGAGAAAAATCTTAAAAGAAAAGGGGTAGCAAATTTTGTACCAAAGGAATTCAGAATTTTTTCTTGGCCCGAATAAGAACACATCATGGCAAGAGTTATTGACGGTACTGTCAGGTTTGAGGTGATGATTAATACAGATGGCTTGGCAGTATAGGTGGCTGTATATCTAGGCTACCAGTCCCTTCAATCCAAATCCCTCTGTTTGGCATTTAAGTTCCTTCATAATTTGGCTCCGACCTATTTTTCCTGGCTGTTTTCACATCATGAATACTCACTCTATGTTCATGCCAAACTATAGGGCCTACTTTACTCAACATTCCATCTCCTTTAAAGCTCTGCTCATATGCTACCTCCTACCATGGATATTTCCTAATTTTCTTCACTTGTTAGTGTCCTTTCCTTTCCTGCCTTCTCCAACTCCCCACTCTAACCAGACTTCATATTTATTTTGTATTGATTTGATTTATCTGTGTTCCTGTTGGTTTTCCCCCAGTAGAACAAAAGTCAAGTTCTTGAGAAAGGATTCCCTTCATTTTTGTTCAGCTCCCAGAACAGTGACTGGTATACAATAGGTAATTAATTAATGCTTTTTGAATTGGACCTGAAAGATTTTGGAGCATATCTAATTTAAACACACACACACACACACACACACACACACACACACACACACAGCAGTGGGGTTACAAAATTGGGAATGCCCTTTGCTTCTCCTTTCTTTTCCCCATGCTGTGGGGAAGCTCTGGGTATCCCTGTGTTTTTCTGTGTGGGTAGAGAGCAGGAAAGGAAGGGCAGACTGCAGAAAAACCATCTAGCAAAGAGTAAGGCTGAGGCTGATATGCAAATTTTGTGGGCTGAATTTTTTTGGCCTGATGATTATGGAAAAGAATTTGCAAGACTGCCCATATTAAACAAAAAATTCAGAACAAGAAATTAAAAAAAAAAAGAAAAGAAAGACCTGAAGAGGCCTGGAAAAGTGTATTTTATTTTCTATGACGGCACTTGTAAATATTGGCCCAATACCTAATCCCTTCTGGAAGCACCAGGGCTTCAGTTCCCAAAGGCATGCATGCCAATAAACAAGGCAATTAGAAGACACCACCTGAAGTTTCCTTGCTCTCTAGAGGAGAAAAGGGAAGTTAAAAAATAAAACTAAATGTGAGGCTTGTCAGAACAAGAGGTACCTGCTAAACAGGCAAGAAGCAAGGTCTCTAGAAAGCAGTAATTGCCACACTTGCGGCCTGCCAATTTTGAAAGACAAGCTGTGATGACTGAGTATACTCGAAGGAGAAGGAATCAAAGGATCAGTGTCATTTATTGACCAAGACAGAGCTGGACTCTAGTATGGCGGGGAGGCAGAAGGATCTAGATGGAAGAGAACAAGAAGCCTGATGTACCAGGTGGGTTCACTGCAATCATGATGGCAGCAGCAAAGACTCACACAAAAACATCGCTTTAAGGGTTTTATAGCACACTTTCTTTGTGCTCCTTAAGGAGGCAAGTTTCCACAAGACTAGCACTGAAGGAGGAAAGGACAGCTAAAGTCTAAAGGGCCCCCAAGAGAACCACTTAAAAGGCCCACGAAATGAGACCTTGGCCCCCGACTATTAATTCAAAATTCTCTTACTACAATTAGGGGTAGCCGTGCAATGTTCTCAGAGGCCTTGAAGGCTTCACACATTATATAAAACACTCAATTTGCATATCACAACACCTTCTTGAAGATCACCCTGAGCTTATCAAAAATTAAATTACTTATGGGGCTGTATTCTATTTGGAGAAAAAAGGCCTCAACAGTCACTTTTACCCCTTTTTTCATAAATACCTAACATTTTCATTGTGCATTGGGCTTTTCAAAACACTTTCATATCCATTACCAGCCACACTGGTTGCTGTCTTACCATATTCTATCTCTTATCTCTGTATCTTGTCATAAACTGTCCTCCATGGCTGGAATGACCTCTTTCCTCACCTCAGTCTTTGCAGAATTCCTAGCTCCCTTCAAAGATCAACTCAAGTAAAACCTCCTACATGAGGCCTATCCTAATCACCCCATTTGTTAGTGTCTTCACCACTAAATTATTTTGCATTTACTTATCTGTGTATATGTTGTTTCCCCTAATAAACTGTATGCTCCTTGAAGTCAAGGCACTGTTTCCTTTGTATCTCCTGAGCACAGCCCCTGGATTGGATCTGTGATTTCACCAGAACATCCTCTACACCTTTTCTGCAATAGAGAAATTTCTGCAGAGAAATTAAGTGACTTGCTCAGGGGCACACAACCAGCATGTGACAGTGGGAGGAATGAACCCAGGCCTCCCTGACTCCAAAGCCAGCTTGGCACACTGTAGGTGATTAATAAATGCCTGCCAAATGCATGGACAAACACCCTTCCTGTAACCCTTGGAGGTACATAGGGTGGGTATTCTTCTTTCACTTTATACATGAGGAACTTCCTAAGACCAGAAGAGCAAGGTCCAATAAGCATCAGTAGAGGAAGCTTCCACTTGGGGGAGCTCCCTCCGACAATGCCAAAAAAACCCAAACAAACCAAAAAACAAACCAAAATGATGAATAAACAGAGGACCAGGGAGGTTGAGAGCTTCCTTACGGCACTCAGCTGGATAGCAGAAGGGGCACTCTACTGGACAGGAATACCCTGACCACTCTTCCAGTTCTTGTCCTACTATTCCATCTTGTCCTTCAGATATAAACATTAGGCCCCTGAATTTTGAGGGGGATGGAGAACTATTATTTTGCAGGGAATATTTTATTAAACCCACTTGCCTGGCCAGCCAATTAGAGCTAAGTCTTGTGTGAGTCATTTATCAGTTTATTCTCTCTGCTTTGCCTTCCTGAAAGAACTTAGTTAGAACCTGTCATTCAAAACTGCCTGGAGGCCAGGCTGTGGTGGAGCAATTAAAACGTTCTCTGGAGCCTTGAGAGAGATGATTGGTAGCATGTCCCTTGCCCTAGCAGCTCATAAAAGCCTCAAATTAGAGCTATGGCTTGTTATTTTTTCCTACCCGCGTAGGAATAAATGGATGAGCCCTTAAGAACAAAATGCTTTGGGGTAAAAGACACAAAGAAGTTTTATCTTCCTTTTCAGTGGAGAGTTCTCCCAGACACGTGGGAGGATGTAAAAGATAGTCAGGTGAGCATGGTCCAAAAAACATGGAGACAGACTTGAGCAGAGGGAGAGATGTGAGGAAACTGTGGTTAATGACCCAGCAGCTAGTGGTTCCAATGGACAGAGTGTTGGACTTAGGGTCTGCAAGTCCGGAACTGAAATCTGACCTCAGACATTTACTAGTTGTGTGACCCTGGACAAACTGCTCAACCACTCTCAGCCTCAGTTTCCTTATCTGTAAAATGGGGATAATAATAGCACCAACCTCACAGGGTTATTGTAGGGCTCAAATGTATTTTATACATTTATAAAGTATTTTGAAAACCTTAAAGAGCTACTTGGCTAGAAGTGATCTCTCCCTCCACAGAACCCTCACAGAGCCTTGTTTATATTTCGTTTGTATACTATCTTATTTTATTTTATATTGGAACTATTGTGTATGCTTAATCTTTGATATATGTTTGAAACATGTCTAATGTTTGATACATGGTACAAGTGAGAGAGAGGATTTGGATTTGAATTCCAGCTGCCATTTATTACAAATATGACCTTGGGCAAGCCATAAGCTCTCTGGGGCCTCAGTTTCCTCATCTGTAAATTAAAGAAGTTGGATTGGATGGTCTCTATGGCCCCTTCTAGATCTTAAAAACAAACAAACAAAAAAGCATGATTCCCTTCTAGACTAGTATAGCCTGTGGAAGGCTTGTGACAAATTTATTCTTCTCTGTCTCTTCCTCAGTAACCTTGCGTGGGCACTTTTGTTGAATAGATGCTCAACAAAAATTCATTGGCTGACTAAATGAATGTTAGTGATAGTGTTTTTTATTTAATCACAATTGTTCTCATTAAGGTTTTACTAAGTATAAAATAGTTCAGGAGTCAATCAACTTTGTATTCACATAGAACAGCTGGATAATCTGTAAACCAAAGGGTTCCAGCCGATATCCTTTTTCTTTAGTAGGGGTCAGAAAAGGCATTGCTGAGCTGTGTGGGTCATCTTTGTGTTTTTCTTTTGCTCCAAAAAGCCAGGGGTTCTCTCAACTGAATAATACTTAGTATTCCTTTCTGCTGCTATAACAAAGGGGGGGGTTGATTCAAAATTATATTCTTTCTCTAAATTCCCATCGGCAAAACAGCAAGATATTGGAAGAAGCCCTATGCTGTGAGTTAGGAGTTGACTTTGCCGCTGCTGTGGTGTGTGGCCTGGGGAGACGCACTTCACTTTCTGGGACCTCAGTTTCCTCATGTACCAGATGGGGATAACCCTTTTCCTATCTACCTTACAAAGGTGTTAGGAAACTGAAAGTGACGTAACGTGTGTGAAAGCACGAAGAGCAAAACAAATGCAAGAAGTTATCATTATAGATACTTAGAAGCAGAGCAGAGAAAGTAAGAGCATGGCTAAGGGGCTAGAGAGTCATGTAGGAGTCAGGAAGATGTGGGTACAGGTCTTCCCTCTTAACACATACTGCCTTTGTGACCTTGGGCAAGTCACTTAATCTCTCATCGTCTCAGGTAACGCTCTAAAACAGCTTATTTATTTATTTATTTATTTATTTTTTGCATCATGGACCTCTTTGGCATTCTGGTGAAACATGAACTCCTCAAAATGTTTTTAAACAAAGTACATAGGACAACAGAAAAAACCAATTACATCAAAATATAGTTATCAGAATAGTTTTTAAAAGGTTCATTAAGAATCATTGCTCAAGACTATATATATATTGCAGAAAAGGTGTTGATGAGCATAGGTAAAGGGAGTTTCCTCAGTGACTGCCTCAATTGTAGTGCCTTCCCTTTGAGATTATCTCTGATTTATCCGGGATATACCTTGTTTGTACAGAATTGTTTGCACGTTTTCTCCCCCATTAGACTGTCAGCTCCTTGAGAAGAGGGCAGTGTTTTTCTGCCTTTCTTTTCATCTGCAGACTTAGCACAGGACCCAGCACATGGTGAGTTCTTAATAAATGCTAGTTGACTTGACCATAAAATTTTTCCAATGAAATCAAAGGTTTGGTTCCAAACAAAACAAACATATGTGATAAAAGTATCTAGGACCTCACAGAAAATAGTCCCAGCCCTGCTTTGTGGCCCCACTCACCTCTGCTTCTTAGAATCCCAATTTTCCTTCAAAGCTCGGCTCAGATGACACCACCCACATAAGGCCTCCACCATCTACCTTGTATATGCTCTGCACATATTTATATGTATACGTGTTCTTCCTTAGTAGAGTATAAGTTCCTTGAGGGCAGGAACTCTTTAATTTCTGTGAAGCATGTTTAATAAATGCTTGTTCATTGAGTGAGGGAATAAATAAAGAACACTAGACCTAAGAGGGACGTTGGAGCTGATCACATTCAACCCTCTTATTTTATAAGTGAGGAAACTGAGATCTAGAGAAATACAGTGACATGCCTAAGGTCACAAAGCAAGTTAATGGAAGAGCCAAATTTAGGACCCAAATCTCCTGACTCTCAGAACAATGCATTTTCTTTTGTAACAGAATCACTTCTTCCTTCCTTCCTTCCTTCTTTCTTTCTTTCTTTCTTTCTTTCTCTTTCTTTCTTTCTTTCTTTCTTTCTTTCTTTCTTTCTTTCTTTCTTTCTCTCTTTCTTTCTTTCTCTCTCTTTTTTCTTTCTTTCTCTCTCTCCTTCTTTCCTTCCTTCCTTCCTTCCTTCCTTCCTTCCTTCCTTCCTTCCTTCCTTCCTTCCTTCCTTCCTTCCTTCCTTCCTCCCTGTCTCCTTCCCTTCCTTCCTTCCTTTTTCTAATAGATTTTTTTTTTGAGAAATGGTTTTTTAAATTAGTTATCTTCTGGGTTTGTCTACATAAGACAATTTTAAGTAGGCACATAACTTTTACATTAACTTCTGTAATCTGCAGAACAAGGGCAGCATTTATAACAGTGTTGTTTCCTACTCCTTCCTCCACCAGTACTTCTCCCCGTACTGGAAATAAATGCCCTACAGCTTGGAAGGAAGGGGACATGACTTACTATGGTACTGCTGAAGGCCACCGGAGACTGGGCATTGTCACATCTCCCCACCGACCTGTGCCGAGTGTGAGTCTGGAAATGGGCATGGGCACTCTGGCTCCTTTTCAGGGGCTTGGCTCCTCCTGGGCATCTCACTGTGCCGAGGCCTGGCAAGGCCCCATACTGACATTTGATCGAGTCCTCCTCATCTGAATCCAACTCCCTCTGAGTCTCCAGGCGTTTGGCTGAGAAGAAAAGTGCTCTATTACTAATGTGGTTAGAAATGTTCATTATAGAAACAGAGTGAGTTAAGTCAATCACCCTGCAACCTATGCTCTAGGGACTGGGGACCTGAAACTGTAAAGTAATAAATAGCGATAATTATAATACTAACTAGCATTTAATAGTACTCCACAAATATCTCATTTTATCCCCACAATGACTTTGGGAGGGAGGTGTTATTCCTATTTTACCGATGAAGAAATTGAGGCTAAAAGAAGCTAAATGAGTTTTCCAGAGTTACACAGCCAGTAAGTTTCTGAGGCTGGATTTGAACTCATATCTTCCTGACTCTAGGTCCAATGTGCTATCCACTGCTCCACCTTTCTGATTGAGCTTGGTAATAGGGACAGGGAAAAGAGGGAGGTAGTTCTGCCAGCTGATATAAACAACAACACCACCAACAACAGTAAACAAACAAACCACAATAGCAACACCTCACAATTCATTGTTTTAAGGCTTTAGTGGATAGAGAGCTGGCCTCAGAGCTAGGAAGGTACGGGTTGGAGTCCTACTGCTGATGCCTAGTGACTGTGGGATCCTGAGCAAGTCACAACCTCTTGGGGCATTAGGAATCTTTCTAAGACCATGTTACGGAGGAAGTGTTGACCTGCATCACCAAAAGGACTTCCTCATCTGGTAGTTCACTATATTAATGAAATTACAGGTCCAGTCCCAATCCTTAGCAAAGGCTGGCTAAGTATTTTGCTCACAATAACCTCTTGAGATAGATAATACAAATATTATCACCTTTGCTTTAGAAATGAGGAAACTGAGGTTGAGTGGAAAGTAACCTGTTCAAGGTCACACAGCTAGAGATTCAAACCAAAGTTCCTCAACTCCAAGCTCAGTACTCTTTTTCACTCAAACATACTGCTTTTAGCTCTAAGGGCTAGAGGTAACTGATGGCGCAGTGGACAAAGCGCTGGGTCTGGAGTTAGGAAGACCTGAGTTCAAATCCACTTTCAGATACTTCCTAGCTGTATGATCTTGGGCAAGTCATTCAACCCGTTTGCCTCAGTTTCTTCAACTGTAAAATGCAGATAATACTGGCATATACCTCGCAGGGTTGTTATAAGGCTCAGATGAGAAAATATTTGTGTAAGTGCTTAGTTCAGGGCTTGGCACCTTACTAGGCCCTATATAAATGCTTATTCCCTTTCCCTTTCCAAGGTGCTTATGGTATACAACCATCCTACTATCAGTGAGGTAATGGAGTTTGGACAGGAGTTAAGTTACTATCAATAATGCCCCCTCTTCCCCTTCTCTGACTTCTCATGGTGTTGTACCTTTCCTATGTGCTCATCGTGCTCCACCTTTTCTTATAGTTCTATATGTGTTCTTATTACCCCTAACCCGACTATAATCTCCATGAGGGTAGGGATGATGTCTTATTATTAGGATCATAGGACCACCGATTTAGAGCTGGAAGGGTCCTTTGATGCCATCAATTCCAGCGTCTTCACGCTACAGATGCTGATCCTGAGGCCCAGGGAGCTTAGCTGATTTTCAAGGTAGGGCTGTTATGTCCCCCAGGAGAGTCCTCAGCTCAAGTGGGACAGAGGCAACCATGTCTGACCTGACTGCTCTACTTAAGATCTTCCTTCAATCTGCTGGTGTCAGTGTAGAAATTTGGGCAGCAGATTCTGCTACCCAAATTGCCTCCGTGAGAAGCAGAGGGATGGGTTGACAAGGAGGGAATTTTTTGAGTATGGGGATTCAAATCTGAACTCATTCTGACATTTCGACTGAGTTGTGGAACTGGGTGTCACAATTAGGAGGTGTTTTCCATTCTAGTGTCAGTAAAATATGTGCCCTCATCATATATAAATAATCCTCTGCATATCAATGACCCAAGTCACAGAAAAAGATTTTTTAAATCGTTTCTATAGGGCTAGGCCAAAGGTTTTCAGCTGAACACAATAAAAAAGCACACCCTATTAGTTTTGCAAGAATGAATGTTTATAATCAATAAATATTATGTTAAAAAAAACCAGAGAGGTCAAGCAATTTGATAATCATCATTCAGCACTAGAGAGAGTTCAGATAAGCCCCCTCTGCTCTTATCACCTTAAGTATGCTGGGCTTCTTGTCTTACAGTTGTCTTATACCCATTTTCTTCTAGAAAGATACAGTTTATTTTAGCATCTCTTACCATTTTCTTGGTGGGAAAACTCATTGCCCATAATGGTACAACGCCGGAATACCATTTTGTTCTCTGTCAGAGTCCCGGTTTTGTCTGAGAAGATGTATTGAATCTGGCCCAGGTCTTCAGTGATGTTAAGGGCTCGGCACTGAATAGATAGATCGACTTCTTCATCGTATAGGTCAATGTCATTGTGTAAGAAGTAAACCTGACCAAGTTTCACCAATTCAATGGATACATACAGAGAGATTGGGATCAGGGTCTGAAAAGAGAACATGCCCTTTATGTAATAATTATTGCTTCTTCCCTCTGCTACTTGCTAGTAAAGGGATTTTGAATCAATGAGGAGAAGGAATAGTGTTGTCATTATGATATGTAATTTTAGCTAAGAGGGTACTCCTTATATATGCTGGTTTCAATCCCATGGTGCATTTTTCTGTGGTGCATCAGGTATAGAGTCTTTAGCATAATCTCTTAATTTCCAGATACAATATTCTTTTCTCATTCTTCATCCTTCTTGATCTTTCTGCAGCATTTGGGACTACTGACTACCCTTTTGGTCTAGACACTCTCTCTCTCTCTCTCTTTTTTTTTTTGTGATGATGCTTTCTCTCTTAGTCTCCTTTTCTAGATCATTTTCTGCTTCTCACCCTGCTGTGCATGGGTAGACCCCAGAACTCTCTCCTGGGCCCTCTTTTCTCTTCTTTATATACTCTCTCTGGTATCTGACTATGCTATTCCCCTACTCAGAAACAACAGTTCTTTACACTTCTCGGATGAAACATCAGTGCTTCTGTTTGTGTTTAAATATTTCAAAACCTGATTCCAGCCAAACTTTTCAGTTTTTTGAGCATTATTCTTATTCAGGCACTCAGTGTTTCAACCCAGCTGGCCTTCTGGCTGTTCCTCAAGCATGATCTTCCACCTCCCATCTTTGTACCTTTGCCCTGGATATCCCCCCACACATAGAATGCAGTCTCTCCTCTGAGAAGCCTAGTTCAAGTACTACATCTCACATGAAATCTATTCTGCTCCCTTTGCTTGCTGGTTTCTTATACTCTTCCTTCCAAAAGTCACTTTGTATGTATTCTTTGTTTCATTACTGGATACCTAGTCTCTACTAACATCCAATAGAATGAATATATACTCCTTGAGGGTAGAAACGATTTCATTTTTGTCTTTGCATCTGGCAAATAGTAGGTGCTTAATAAATGCTTATTGAATGAATGAGAGGAGAATGATGCTCCCTCCCCATGATTAAAAATGGTTTTCATTGAAAAGAGATCTGTGCAGGCCCACATCTTGAAGGATGTTTCCAAACAGTAACTAGATCCACTAGAGAGAAGAATGTGACAAGAAAATGGTAAAGAAATCTGGAATGAAAGTCCCCAGAAAACACATTGGGGTCTTATGAAGGTACCCTTTTATTAATTATGTATCATAGAACCATTGAAAACCAGAATAGGAAAGAACATTAGAGGTTATCTGATTTAGCTCTCTCCTTCACCCCAACCCCATGCTTTGTGGGAGAACCAGAAAGAAGTAATTTGCTCAACCAAGGTCACATAGCCTATTAGTGGTAAAATTAGGCCAAGAACCAAGTCTTTGGTGCTCTTTCTACTACATCTTATATTCTATTCTCTTACATAATGGAGATAGTAATGAGAAAATCACATGGTAGTTTTTTCCTTTCTGTTAGTTCATTAATGACTGTCTAAACCTATCCTTTACTTTTCGTAGCCTTCAAGAACCCAGTCATTTCTACTTCACAATAAGGTGTCCAACTAGGACTCTAGTGGAACTCTTGGGGCAAAATACTTCCACATAAAGTATTTTCTTTCCCTTAAATGTCATCTACCTGATAAGTATTTAGCCTTCTTGTCCTGAGGGCAGCATGATACAGTTAAAAGGGTACTTAGTGGTCTTAGGGTCAGAGGATGACAGCCTAAATTCCACCTCTGACACTACCTATATGACTTTGGGGAAGTCATTTAATTTTCCTGGGCCTCTGTTCACCTCTAAAATGAAGAGATTGGAGTAGATCATGGATTCTTAACCTGGGTCTTGTGGATAGATTCCATGAGGTCCATGACCTTGGATGGGGGAAAAAAATGACATCTTTATTTTCACTAACCTCTAGCTGAAATGTAACATTGCCTTTCATTTAAAAGCATTATTCTGAGAAGTAATTATTGGCTTCACCAGGCTGCTAAAGGGGTCCAGATGGCCTTTGAAGTCCCTTCCATCTTAAAATCTATGCTCCAATGAAATAGAGTGGGATTTCTTTCTTTTTTAATGAAGCCCTAATTTTACATAATACCATATTCCTTTTACTTTGTCCAACAAGTATTGAGATTTTCCTCTGTGCTTAGCCCTCTACTGGATACTGTGTAGAGATCTAAGAAAAATAGAAGGAGAAGTGTTTAGCACATAGTAAAAGGTTAATAAATGCTTTTTGACTGACTGGCTGTCTGTAAGGCACAATTCTTATCTCTGAGGTGCTTAAAATTAGTTCAAGTCAAGATTTATACAAATTAAATCGATAACAATATAAATAGATGCAGTTTCTCCAGGGAAAAATATTTGAGCACTCCACATTTGGGATCATATGGTTCTCAAACTAGTTGTCCCATAGACATTTTAACATGTCTAAACTGAACTTACTATCTTGTCTTGAAAAGTCTCCACCATTATGGACTTTCCTGTTATTGTCAAGGATACCACCATCTCCCCAGTCATCCATATTAGCAACCTGGATGTTATCCTTGACTCCTCACTCTTTCACTCCCTTCCCCCTTCCAATAGCCACTCTGTTGCCAGGTTCTGTCAATTAAACCTTTGTAACATCCCTCAAAAATGTACCCTTCTTTTCACTTATGCAGCCACCTTCCTGGTGCAGGCCCTTATGCCTGGACTATTGCTATCAGAATTGATAGTAATTATTACCAATTACTATTGGTCTCATCATGACAAGTATCCAGTCCAGTCAATCCTCCACTCAAGTACCAAAATGATTTTCCTAAAGCACAGGTCTGACCTCCTCCTCAATAAACTCCAGTGGCTCACTATTACGTCCATGATTAAATGTAAAATCTGGTTTGGCATTCAAAGCTTTTTATGGCCTGGTCCCCTTCTACCTTTCTGGTCTTCTTACATCCTATCAACCCCATGTATTATACGGTCTGGTGACCCTGGCCTTCTTGCTCTTCCTTGGACAAGACATTCCGTCTTCTGACTGGAGGCATTTTTACTAGCTGTCCCCTATGCCTGGAATGCTCTCCTACCTCATCTCTCCCTCCTGGCTCCCTAGCTTCCTTCAAATTTCAGCTAAAATCCCACCTTCTATAAGCAACCTTTCTGGATCCCCCTTAATACTTATGCCTTCCCTCCATCTATTTCAAACTTATCCTTTATCTTGTACAGTAGCACAATGAGTTGTTTGTATATCATCTATCCCTTTTGATTGAAAGCTCCATAAAGGCAGGAACTGTCTTTCGCTTTTATTTATATTTCCAGGACTTAGTGCCTGGCACATAGTAGAGGATTAGTAAATGCTTATTGACTTTCTTAAATTTAACCTAAATCTTTCCTGCAAAGAAGCATCTTCATTTCTTCTGCAAAGGTGGAGAATGATTAGCTGTTGGTATTTTAAGCTTTTAATTAGAGTTTTTTTTTTTTTACCTGTAGTAGGATGATCATGGTGAGAAACATGTAGAAGCCCTGAAGTGCAACTGAGGGGAAGCTTCCATCAGCATCTGGAACATCAAAGGGGGGAATTTCTGAAAATGTTCCCTTCCAAAGGACATGACCTAAGAAGATACAAAATCAGGAGATGAGGAAGAATATCAGCTTGGTTCCAAACTATTGACTCCATTTACATTCAACTTATCACAGAAATGTGCGAATTGTTCCTCTTATAAAATGGTCTTGGGGACAGTTTTTCAATTGCTACTCTTGCCTGTGGATTTGTGGACCCCACAACAACCGCATTATTGGACTGATGGAAAAAAAAAAGACAAACTTGAATGCATTTTTCTCATAACCATCTCTCTGATGACATTAAACAGAATGAATGGTGTAGTGGAAAGAACACTAGACATTTAGTTTCTAGTCATAGTTTTGCCATTAACAAACCATGTGGCCTTGACTGGGCAACTCACTTCCCCTCTCTGGTCATTAGCCACAAAAGGAAGGAGCTAAATCAGATAATCTCTAAGGTTCCTTTCTGGTCTGATGTACAAGAGTGTACGATGTAAAACTAATGAAACTTGGGGCTTCATTACCTGGGAAAACAGTTTAATTTAGTTTTTGTAGCATTTTCTTTTCACCTTCTGCTCTCCCAGCCTTCTTTGGACCGTGCTACACCCTTATCTCCCTACAGAAATGCTGGATTCTGCTCTTTCTTCTCTCCCCGTCCCCCAAACCCCTCATGCACACTGAATTCTGAGAGTTGAGTTTTATACTTATCTCTTCTGGAACCAGGGCTCCACCTTCTTAGTGACTATTTCTAGGCCTTGCTATCTGTGCTTCACCATCATTCTTACCCCCCCATGTATCTCCTCTTCCCTTGGACTTTGGCCCAGGACACTGGATTCTGAACAAGTCTCCAAGTCAGCTCTTGACTACCATTTCCAAATTATGTCACAGGGCACATTCCACCTTCCCTGTGTTCCAGCTACCTTTCCTTTTACTTACTGTCTTTCCTCAATAGAATGTAGCTTCTTGAAGGGCCAGGGACTTTTGCTTGCCTGTATTTGTATCCTCAGGATTTGACACATTGGTACACCGGGAAGACTAAATAAATGTTTGCTTGTTCTTTCTACCTATCTTTCTATCTTTCTTTCTACCTCTCTCTCTCTCTCTCTCTCTCTCTCTCTCTCTCTCTCTCTCTCTCTCTCTCTCTCTCTCTTTCTCTCTCTCTCTCTCTGTGTCTCCCCCTATCTACCCATCCATTCATCCATTCAGTAGATTTAGTTACTACTTGGGAGTTTCCTTCAAGTTGAGCCCCACCCCCCCACTTCCTCCCTGCCCAGATACTTTTTTCCAATGAGAGTCATTTGGGCCAAGCAATTGGGGGAGGGAATACACATAAAACAGTGACAATATTTAAATAAGTGGTTAAGAATCAAATAAGAGGGATAGATGATAGTTGCTATAGGAGGAGGGATGAGTCACTATAAGCTAGAGTAGTTCTGGAAAGATTCACGAAGATGGGAGTCATTAGGCCTCAAAGGACAGATGATGCTTTTCTAAATTGAAACTTGGTGTGATGTAGGACAAAGAGCACTGGTCTAGGAGTCAGATAATTTGGATTCTAGACCCAATTCTGCCATTAACTACGTGTGTGACTTTAGGTGAGTAATATGATCCTTTGGGCCTCAATTTCTCATCTGAAAGTTGAGGGGAATGGACTAGGTTATTTCTAAGGCGTCTTCTAGCTCCAACTTTCTAAGAATCTATAAAGAAGGGAGGGCGTCCCTGGAAAAGAGAATCTAGTTTTTCAAAATGAAAGTGAAAAATACACATATATGTATTTGTTCAGTTGTTTTGGTGACTTTTGACTCTTTGTGACCCCATTTGAGGTTTTCTTGGCAAAGATATTGGAGTAGTTTGCCATTTCCTTCTCCAGTTCATTTTACAGATGAGGAAACTGAGACCAAATTGAGGCCAAATGTGAACTCGGGAAGATGAATCTTCCTGACCCTAGGCCCAGCACCTTATCCACTGTGCTACCTAGTTATCGCATATATGTATAGACATATATGCATATCTATCTATCTATCTATCTATCTATCTATCTATCCATATATAGAGAGGTAGAAAGATGAAACCTGTGGCTGCTTTATAGATTACAGTGGTGAACACTTTAATTCATATAGTACTTATTCACCCATAAAGGGGAAAAGAGAAAATCCTAGAATGTTTTCGCCTTTATCATTCTCCAAAGAAGAACACGCAGAGGCTTACAGTGGGCCTAGGGGGCCCCAAAGAGGAAGAAGCAGTACGACCATAGCGCTGTCAGCCTGCCACCAGAAAGGCAACAGGGAGAAGTGCTTCCCCTGGCAGATACAATGCCATGTACTATAATAGAAACTACAGGAGCGTTCTGAGAGGCTGATGCTTTGGGAAGGAGGTGGGAGAGGAGATGCTTGCCTCCTGATGCTTTGTACCCTGCCCTAATCCAGGTAATAGGATTTATTCTGCTGCACTGCCTGGGGTTTTCAATTAACACAGTTACTAAAGGTATTATTAAAATATTCTTTTGTTATGATATTTCAGAGCTTTAAGAAGGAAAGTTGGGTAAAGCAGAAGGCCACCACAGAAGAAAATCCAAAGGGTTTTGCTACATGGATTGGCTGGCTCCCTGCTGTGGAAATATTTGAAGATGAAGTCATGAGATCAATAAAAATTCAGGTTTTAGATTTCACTTTTCTGAATTTCACTCTCCTCACATATAAAACTGACATGCTTCTCCCAATCTGCCTCTCAGAGTTTTTGTGAAGAAAGTGCTTTGTAAACTGTAAAGTGCTATTGAAATTGTTTACATAGGGTCAAAGTGAGGAGTCGAGCAAATGATTATATATAATATATATTATATAATTATTTATATAGATATAATCAAATATTGTTGATAATTGCTCTGTGCCATGGCAAACAGGCTGGCACTATGGCATACTAATGGGTAAAAAGAAAGTAATCCAAGAAGGTCCATTTATGGTGGTTCCCAATTCTTTTATCCCTGTGCTTGAGACGCTAGGAGAGGAGAACTCTGATACAATCTCTGATAAAGTTTAGCACAAGTGCCACTTTCTGCAGGAAGCCTTTCTTGATAGGGATCAAGGCCCAGCCTTCTCCTCCAAAATTGCCTTATTTCTGTGGTATATATTTTTGGTGTGTTTATATATATGTGTGTGTATATATATATATAATATATATATATATATATATGTCTATGCATACAATTTACGTATGTGTATATGTTTGTGTACATACAGATATCTGTATCTATATGCCCGTCTCTACGTATTGTGTCCTTCTAGATTGCAAACTCTGTGAAGGGAGGGGCTGTCTCATGTTTGTCTCTGTGCGCACAGCACTCACCATTCGGCTGAAACTGCTCTTTCCAAAGTTACCAACGATCTCCTAATTGTCAAAGTCGAATGGCTGCTACTTGTTCCTTACTCTTCTTGGCTTCTCTGTAGTATCGGACACTGTAAATCACCCTTTCCTCCGGGATACTCTCTCCTCTCTGGGTTTTTGTGATACTTCTCTCTTTTCATTCTCCTCCTGTTGGTCTGACTGTTATTTTTCAGTTTCCTTTAAAGATTCTTTACCCACGTAGCACCCGCTAACGTGGTGTCCCCTGAGGCTCAGCCTTGGGCCCTCTTCACTTTTTCCATTATACTTTCTCATTTGATGATCTCATGAATTCCCAAAGGTTTAATGATCATTTCTGCAGAGATGATCTCCAGGTTAGTCCCTTTCCTGATCTCAGTCCCATATCACCAAATGCCTTTTGGGCACCCCAAACTGTAAGTCCTACAGGAATCTTCAACTCAGTACATCCAAGACAGGATCCATTCTCTTCCCCAACCCCTCAAACCCTCCCTTCTTCCCAATCTCCCTGTTGTTTTTGAGGTTGCCACTATCCTCCCAGTCATCCTGGCTCATAATCTCAGTGTTTTCCTCGACTCCTCACTTTTATCCATACACTCATACAACTATCTCTATGGCACAGTCTCTAAATAATTCTTGCCTGAATTATTGCAACAGCCTTTTAATTGGTCACCCAGCCTCAAAGCTCTCCTCCTTCCAATCTATTTTCCATTCAGCTGCCAAAGTAACAGTCCTAAAGTGAAGCTCTGACAAGGTCAAACACCTTGTATGCTTGGCCCGCCCCCGTCTTCCCCTTCCCCCCCATGAAATCTTGATGCTGAGTTGTTTCAATCATGCCTGATTCTTCATGGCCCCATTTGGGGTTTTCTTGGCAAAGATACCAGAACAGTTTGCCATTTCGTTCTCCAGCTCATTTTATAGATGAGGAAACTGAGGCCAACAGAGTTAAGTGACTAGCTTAGGGTTACACAGCTACTAAGTTGTCTGAAGGTGGATTTGAACTCAAAGAGGAGTCCTCCTGACTCTGGGCCCAGCACTCCATTCACTCTGCCACCTAGCTGCCCTCATGAGCTCTCATGGTTCCGTATTACTTCCAGGATCAAATGCAACATTTTCTATTCGACATTCACAACCTGGGCCCTTCCTAACTGTCCATTCTTCGACTTTACTTCCCTTTATGAACAACTATACTAGCTTGCTTTCCCTCACATATGACACTATGTCTCTCTTTATGTCTTTACACTGGCTGTTCCTAAGCCTAGTATTCTCCCCATATTCACGTCATCCTTTTAGTTTCCTTGCACCTCTTTATGACTCATCTCAATCCCACCTTCTGTGGAAGGCCTTCCCCAGGCCTCCAGCTACCAGCCAAGGGTGGGCCTTCCCTTCCCCACCCCTGTAGTAGTCCCTTCCTTACTGAGATTGTTTAGTATGCTGTATATAAGTATCTTGGAACTACCTAATTACTTACACGTTGTCTTCCCCATTTGAACGTGAACTCTTAGAAAGGAGAAACCTTTTTTTTTCTTTCTTTGTATCCCAATCCTTTAGCTCAGTTTCTGGTACAAGTAAGTATTTAATAAATATTTATTGACTAACTGTCCTATTGCAGTGATTGGCAGATGGTAAGTACTACAACGCTTGTTCATCGGATTTCATTCAGGGAACAATTAAGACAATAACAAAAGGCTAAGGGGAAGGATGCTGCCTACCTTTTCAATCCATAATTTCCAATAATCTCTTTAGATGTATTTGGTGCCCTTAGTAAGAAGGCAAAAATCACAATTGTTGATAGCGTAGCTTTTTTGTGAATTTAAAGTCAGAAGATCTGGATTTTATTTCAGATTCTGTTATTTACTACTTGCATGAATTTAGAACACTGTACCCAAGATTTCTCATCTGTAAAAATGAGAGGCTTGTTATATTAGGTAACTTTATGGGGCTATTCCATCTCTGCCCCTTACGATCATGTGAAACATTCCCTTTGGCCAGGGTCTGGGGGTGCAAAGAGCTTTGTAAATAGGAGTTGGTGTTTTCCTGAAGGCTCCATACCTACAGCTCCAATGAGGCACATGAGGAAGAGAATCCCCACACAGAAGAAAATGTCGATATTCATGTGACGCTCCATCTTGCTGCGCTTGTACCGTGAGCCACTGTTGTTCAGCATAGCTTTTGTTTCATGGCCTTAGAGAAACAAATGGAAACATAGGCCGTTAGTCCACTGTGGCAGAATCCCATACAGGTGTAACAGAGAGGTGAACAGGAGTGTGCTGGAATCAGCCTGAACCAGCTTAAGGGAGCCGAGTGTTTACTCCTCAGAAATGGGCAAATATTATCAATTATTTATTGTTTTGTTGATTGTCTACACTTCACAAAATGATGGAGAAAATGTTAATAGTGCAGGTTAAACTAAACGTGTATCCTGTGTATTTTTTGTTTTTTTGAGAGTCAGTTGTTAAACATTTACCAGATCACCCTTAGGTGTGACCATTTAAAGCCAAAGCTCTGCCTCTGCCCTAAGGGAGCTTTCAGTCAAATAGGGTAATCAAATGCTAGTTTAGTTCTGTCTTAAAGAGCACTAAATTTGGTTTCCTCAAAGGTGGATCTATGACAACCATAGGATGGATTTACAGGAGGAAGAAATGGAGCTGACCACTGAATGAGGGGTGGTTCTAAAGTGAGGGGTTCTAAAAAGCAGAGGTGAGGAAGGAGAATTTCCAAGCATGGGGGCAAGCCTGTGCAGAAGCATAAAGTGGGAGATGGACCATCACAGAAAACAGGAAGTAGTCTAGACTGCAGAGTGTGTGAGAAAGAATAATATGAAATAACTCTGTAAAGACAGGTGGGAGCCACTGAAGGAGGAAAAACTCAGTCAATAAGCATTCATTAATTGCCTTCTGTGTGCCAGGCCTGAGGATTGGAGATATAAAGGCAAAAAACAAACAAAAACCCCTCAAATCCTACTAAATAAAAAAAGGCAACCCAAACTAGGGAGCGTGATAGACCTACTAGCAGAACATTGCAGTAGTTCAGGCATGAGGTGATGAGAGCATGCACTGTCATGGTAACAGTGTTAGAGGAGAGAAGGGGCACAGATTAGAAATGTTACAAGGGTAGAATCAACAGAACCTGCCAGCAACTTGGCTAATGGGGGATGGTGGTGGTGGTGAAGAAGGGGGCAGGTCAAGGATGACTCCTAGGTTGTGACCCTGGTGAGTGGGAGGATTGTGGTGTTCTTGTCCACAGGACATAGGACAGGGAGGTATGAAAGGATTGGAAACATAATGAGTTCAGTTTTGGATGTGTTGATTTAAAGATGGCTACAGGACATCTAGTTCAAGATGTAGACAGTTTTCTCAAGGGGTTTAGACACAAAAGGGAGGAGAGATATAAGGTGATAAGTAATGGGGATGGGCTGATCAAGTGATGGTCTTTGAGAAAGGGGGAGGTAGGAATGAGCAGCAAACATGATGAGCGTACGCCAGTGAGGAAACCAGTTTGGTGAGAGCAGAGGGTCTATGTTCTAAAACAGGTCAGGGAAAAGATAGAGGGAGAGACAAAGCAACTAACTTGAAACAGCAAATTAGTTCTAGATAAAAAAGAAAAAGAGATGGTAGATAGACATGAGCAGTTTGGGCTTTGATTAAATGGCCTTCTGAATTTTAACTACTCTGGCATTCTCTTTGGTTGTTGGAATAGAAATGCCAGTCACATATTTCTGTGCAAAATTAAAGAAAAGCAATATGTCATATCCAGCTGTGAACAGTTTTAATGTTATTTAGCTTGTCACTTACGTAGATTTAAAATGGCAACAAAACAGTGGGAAAGGAAAAAAAAACTTCTGACTTATTAAATTAGATTCAAGTTGTTTCATTTATAATAGCAGGATACATATGAAATCTGAACAGGAAGTCTGCACTAATGGGATTGCCACCTTTCAGTATGCCAAAAAGTAGAACAAATTCTGTTGTTCCCCTCTTTCGCTGGGCAACACCACTACCCAAGACCCAGTGGAAAACATTAATACTTAAACTCTCATCTCCACACTCTTCTCTACTCCCTTCCAGGTTTGCTGGCATTCACAGTAGGCTCTCTGGGAGCTCTGCACTACAGACAAAGGCTTGTGAGAAGTGAGTGGTGGGTGGGAGGGGAGGGGTCAAGCAGAAGTGAGAACTTTAGGAGAGGAGCAACCAGAATCATCCCCACAATTCTAGGAGTGCAACTAAGTTGAAGCAGAAGGAACGGTTGCCTGTGGAGCGGCACCACCTGGAAAAAGATTCGAAGACAGGCAAAAGACAGTCTCTGCTCTCAATATAATGAGAGAGACAGCATACAAATAATTATGCACAGACACATTATATATAGGATAAATAATCAGTAGAGAGAAAGCACTGGAAATAAGACAGACTGGGAAAGACTTCCTATAGAAGGCGGGATTTAGTTGAGACTTGAAGGAAGCCAGGAAGCAAAGATGAAGAAGGAAAGCATTCTATGTATGAGGGACAGCCAGTGAAAATAACTGGAGTTAAGAAATGGAGTGTCTCATCTGAGGAATAATAGCAGGGAACATAGAATCACAAAGTACATGGTAAAGTATAAGGTGTAAGGAGACTGGAAAAGTGGGCTGGTAGGGAGAGGAAGGGCAGGTTATGAAGGTCTTTGAGATTAGGTAGGATGACATGTTCCAACAAACCTTGGCTTTAGCAAGATGGATTTAGCAACCTAAGCAAGGGCTTTTGGGAGCTTGAACTAGGGTTGTGGCAGTGTAAATAGAATGGAAGGGATGGTATTAGCAGAGTAGAAGTCATATGGCCTTAGTAATAATTCTTATATTTGTAGAGGGCTTCATATGTTTTGAAGTACTTTCACATTTGTTATTGCTTTTGATTCTCACAAGCAAAGTAGAGGGCCTTTGGGAGCTTCATCAGGTATTAGTGCTACAGAGAAGCAGAAGAGAGTGGCTCGATAATTTTCTTGGTCTGAGGCAACCTGGCTGACAAAGATGGCCAGAGAACAGGCATAGACTTAAGGAGGCCAGGCGAAAGCCTCAGAGATATCGTCTTCAGAATATATACAGTTTCTGTGACTTTACTCACAACTCACATCACTCTTCTGCCTGGAATGCCCTCTCTTGCTCTCTCTTTAAATCTTAGGCATTCTGTAAGACTCCACTCTAGTTCCACTTCTTCCATGAATTTTTTTCTACTCAAATCCTTGACTCTGCCACTAATTAGCTAAGTGATGTTGGGCAAATCTTTTAACTTCTCTCTTTATCTGCTGGCCTAAGTGATCTCTAAGGGCCCCTTTTGGCTCTAAATCTATAATCCTATGATCTTCGAACATCTCAGTTTCCTTCTCTGTAAAATGAAGCATATGGAGCAACTATCATCTATGGTCTCTTCACAACCTGACTTTCTGAGTCTATGAGCTCACCTCAGCTCTCAATGTGTTTTCACTCCTGAATTCCTATAGCATTTATTGTTTAGAATCTTCATTTGGGCACACCATTATGACTTAAGAAATGTTATTTTGAATGATTACTTGACTTTTGACATGTATGTATGTGTTTAGCTATTCCAACTAGCTTGGAAACTGAAGGGCCTGGGCTATATCTTAATCAAAGATAATGGAGATCATATCACACACGTGACGTTCTCCTCACTAGAAGAGAGAAAATGCATGCAAATGTCACTTGGAAAGATTCTGGCCCCCTCTTGCAGCATCATGTCTGGGCCATGAACCTCATATGTAGAAATGAGTTAATTTTCACGTAGGATAATATTTGCTGAATATCAACGGGAGTGAGTGAGGAGCTCTCTATGATGTGCCCAAACAAGCTTGGTGTCGTTGTCCCTTGTGAAAGTATGAAAGTACTAAATGAAACACTTTAGCTGGGAAGGGGAGCAGAGAATGATAGTAAAGGAAAGCAGCTTCCTGGGTGGCGAGAATCAGGAGACTGCTGCCTGAACTGCAGAATCTCACACTTACAAGGGACCTCAGAAGTCACCTAATCCAGCCCATACCTGATTAAGATTCCATAGCATATCCCAATAAGTGGCTATTACATGAAGGTTTCTGTGGATAAAAAGATGAAATAAGACCTCCCTGTGAGGACCTTATTATCTAGTAGTAAGAAAATATATGTAAATAAGTGAAATTCATATTAGAATGGAGTCAAAGGGAAATCCAAACAAAATATTATGAAGAATTTGAAGGAGAGATCAAATAGGAAGGTTTCATGGAAGAAGTGACACCATAATTGGGCCTTGAAGGATCTGAAAGACTTCAGCAAAAGATATGGGAGATAAGGAGGAATCCATTTCCAGCCTAGAAAGTGTCACAAGCAAAGGGATGGAGAAGGATGAGATTAAAAGGCATGGAGATTGGCCTATGTTGGCTAGGATGGAGATTATGAGAAACTGAGTAGTGTGAGATGGGGCTGGAAAGCTAGGATAGAGACAGTGATGAACTGGAGACACACTCCCTTTGGAGGGAGACCATTTTGTGTTTGGATGGCACTAATTATTAGGAAGTTTTTCCTTAGTTTGAGCCTCAATATGTTTCTCTGTTTGCTTCTATTAGTCTTCATTGGAATACTATTCACCATGCCTTCCTCACATGAATCTCTCTTCCTGCTTCACCACAGTCCCCATCCCTTTAGTGATACCTTTCCAGAGCCATATTCCAGCTATGGAACATGCACCAGGTTTGAGTGATACCTATAATGTTCAATTTACCTCCTCACATTAGAGAAGGGATTCTCAACCTGGGGCCTGTGAATTTTGAAAAAGTTTTACTTTTTGACTACTGTATTTAATATAATTAGCTCCATTTCTAATTCTATGTACTTTATTTTTTGTATTTTAAAAAATATCATGAGAAGGGGTTTACGGGCTTCATCAGACTGCCAAAGGCATTCATCAACACACAAAAAATTAAGAATTATTACATTAGGGGATGCTCTAGTAGTCCATGTTTGTTATTTTTACTTTGTGCATTTGAGTATAAACAAGCCAGCAAGTCCATTGCTGGCCGCTTTCTTGAATTTTGCCTTTTGTGAATTTTGGGGTATTGCTAAAGTTATTTTTATTCCTACTTTTTATTATCTCCCTATCATACGCCACACAGTTTTCTCCCTCTCTCTCCTTTTTTTAGTTTAAAGTATTTAAAAAAATCATCTCGGT